CAGGCGGCGTTGGAGTGTCGGAAACCTGGGGATAGTAGTGACTCGAATGTGCGGACGGTGTTGGGGCCGAAGAGGATTAGGGAGTTGGCGGTGGAGGCGGGGTGGGAGGTTGAGAGGGAGGAGTATGTACAGACTGGAGAGGGGTTGTTGGATGGGAGGTGGGAGGTTGCGGCTGTTCTTGATGGGGGGTTTGAGGAGGAGGTGAGGAGGGTTGTGAGGGATGAGAGGGAGAGGGCGGTGGTGTTGGCGGCGAGGGATGCGTGTGAGGTGAGTGTTGGGGGTGTGGAGCGGGTGAGGAGTATGGATGTTTGGGTTGCTAGTTTTGTTTGATGATGGATGGATGGATTGATTGATTGGTTGGAAGGGTGATGAAGGATGATGAACTCAATTGCGAACTAGTACTGTTATTACTATCTTATCAGGTCCAGGGTTTGTTTTTTTAAAAGTTTTATGGTTAGACACTCCCTCCTGCACGTCGTCCTGCACCGTCTCCGATCAACCCTGCGGTTTCCAGTAACCATCTGGCGCTTTCCTCTGCAGCACTGCCTCCTGTCTTCAGGTTCACGTTGCGCCGCCGTTCAGCCTCCCGAGCTTCAAAGTCCCATTTTGCCTGCTGTAACTCAACGGCGCTTTTTCCGCCCTCTGCGGACGTGGTTGTGGGGTCGGGCACCAGGCCCCAGACTTCTAGGTTGTAGATCTCGATGGTGGTTTTGACGGTGGTGTCTGGGGTAGAGCCCGGGGGTGGGGGCAGGAAGACACCGTTGCGGACGACGGGAGAGACGTAGAATTGTGCAGTCTCGAGGCTGACGTCGATGGTTAAGCTGCCTGCCCCGTGCGGAGTGGGGTGCTTTTTATTGCTGCGCGACGAAGGGGGGATTTGGCAGCCTAGTGATATACCTGAGCTGGTGGAGAAGTAGGCGGCTGGGGTATTTGATTGTTGTTGGATGGATGAGGAGGGGTTCCCTTGCAGAAGCATGTGTTTTGGCGAGAGCTCGAAGAGACATGGGAGGACGGAGTTGGAGAACTTGGAGCTGGTCTGGGTGGAGGTTGGCGATTTCCATGGCTGTGGTAGGTAAGCACCAATGGTCACCATTTCGCCGCTTGGATTGGTTCCCTCGAGCACGAGAAGAGTGCCTGAGGACCAGGTGAGCACGTGGTGCGAGAATGAGGTTAAAGAGGAGCCATGCGCCACGGTTGAGAAGACTGGGTGCAGGCGCACATTGCCGCGGAGGAAGTTTAGGCTTTCCGAGGATGAGGGAAGGAAGAACGACAGATGTGAGATGACACTCGGGTTAAGAATCACGGATTCAAAGCTACCCGGGAGCGTAATCGTTGTGGGTGAAGGCAGATCATCTTCTGGAGCTTCTTCGACAGGCTCTGATGCCGCAGAATCGGCCGCAGAATCGGCCCTGTTGCGTTTTTGGGATAGGTTCAGATTTCTGCTGAAAAGGAGATGCTCGAACAGCGGTGTCAGAGGATCGAAAAGATACGGAAATGAAGATGTCACGGTCCGAGCAAACTCCTTATAACTTATTCCGCCAGAAGGCTCATGGTTGAATGCTGCCATGATGCTATCGGCCTCCGATCGAACTGCTTCCATGCGCTCTTCGCTTAGATCGGATGTGTATGTTTTTACGGGCTCAAGAGGCTTTAAGGGCGAAATAACTATTAGAAGCATCAAGAGGCGACGGAGCGTATCAGCAGATATCCGAGCTTCGTAGACAGCCCTGTCCATGCGCGAGTCGTGCTTAAAGACCTCGATGGCATCCAAGGATTCCAGAGCAGCTAGTGCTAAGTCATCGTCTTCCTCGTCCTCATATTCATCGTTTGCCGGCTCATCGATGGCAAACCCTGGGACATGGGAGGTCGGCGCAGGTGCATCAGCATCCTCGCGGACTTCATCACCATTATTCTGCTGCTCAACACTCTTTCTTCCAACATCAGCAAGGCTTCCGAAAAGCAGTCGTATCCTATCCCTGCGCGCACGTCTAAGGACTTTCCCGTATCGTTCAGTCAGCAAAACAACGACTTTCACCATAGCCTCAAATGTTAGCACACTTGGAGCAAGAGTGTTTTGGAAAGGAAATGCCCCAAGGTACGAGACCATGCGGAAGATCACGGGGCCCGCATCCAAAGGACATTGGGATTCACTGCTATCCGGAATCCCTAGGAAATCCGAGAGAGTCTTCTCATTCCAGTATTTCAGGCCGCCTTGATCAATGGCACGCGAGAAGAAGTTGTCTTTGAGATGGGTCAACTCCAAGGGAGTGAAGCATTTAGTTGCAAACCGTTCAGCAAGCACGTAGCTCAGCTCCTCTAAGGTCTTGTCAGAGACGGTATTGCTCTTCTCTGAAGAACCATTTTTATCGTGCGATGCGATATTATGACTCCATTACGAAAGATGGCAGCGAACTACTAACCTGGCGAGGACGCCTGCCCCCCATACTCAGTCGACTGGCCCACTCCCATCTTGTCTTAGAGTGGTCTAAGAGCTGACAAGTAAGATAATCGGTAACGCCTGAGCAAGATGGTGCCATGTGCGATCCAAGTTATAGCTACCAATCAGCGGAGTAATCGTGGAGAGTAGAGGACACGTTCATCTAGCTTAATCAGTACAGTCATTTCTTAAGCCTGGATGCCGCGTAGTGATGACGACGTAAACCCACTTCAGGTATACGACTGACGATCAATGTGCATCAACTACTGGAAAGGAACCCGGCACTCAAGGGAACCAAATGAGCCGGAATGGCAAGAAGGACTGAAGTAATCCATCAACACCGGAGAAAGCAAGAATAAGGTACACGACTTGTTGATGGTCAGGAGAGGAACAAAGTCGGGGGGATGCTTGGTTAATGACGGGATGGCGAGTCCCGCATGCGGCAGCCTAGGCACCTGAGGCATGACACAAGTGGGTCTCACGGCTAGTCTACTTTCGGTGCAGATCCAGGCACCCATCGGCTGCTAGTATCGCTAGGGATATACAGAGCTTTAAACATCATTTATATTCATGATAGAAGTATCCACAGTTTCTTCCTCAAATGCCGCCATTAATTGCAACAGAGATTGCAGAAGAACGTTTCATATGTGTCAAGAATGCAACAGAGTGCCAGACCCTACAGCATAACGATACCAACACCACCCATCTTCTTCTCATCGGGAAGGTTCTTATCGTTGACACCTCCAGGGACCGGAGCCGTCCGATAATTGTACAGATAGTAGTGAAGCTGGCCGTCACCTGCACCGAATTTGAGCTGCTCCAGGAACAGAGGGTTGTCGTGCAGGGTCAGTGCGTTGAATACATCGAATTTAGCCTAGGAATTGATTAGTTTGGTCCAAAGGACAAAGCGCAGATGAAGGGGCATTGATAAGATCATACCTTCTTCGCGAGAACCAGAGCATCATTCATCAGCATGAGCAGTCTCTCCTTAAGAGCCTTCTGATCCTGGGTGAAGGCAGTTTCCGTGCCATAGTAGTACAGGTAGGCGGCGCGGACGTTGTCGTGCTTGGGGTGCTGAATCACAGTCGACTCAAGGTTGTAGAAAGAGACAAAGTCGGTGATCTTATGGGTTTCGGCATCTTCGACCACGTAAGACCATACAACCTGCTCCTTTCCGGCCTCTTCCTTGTGCAACAACCAATGCTCGACTTCCTCGCGGGTGAAGGCCTGGTTCAAGGCAAACCGCTTGGAATAACGCTCCAGCAAATCCTGAACAGCGTCCACATCCTTGGCCTCCATAACGCGCAAGCCAGGGGTTGCTGTGGTGCTGGGAAGGTGGTTCCTGGTGATCTGGCGTGCTTTGGTGGAGCCACGGGGGAGGTGGGAGAAACCGATTTCGTAGAGCTTCAGCCAGTCCAATGGGCGGTGGTAGTACCGACAAGAGCTAACAGGCGTCGGCAGAACAACACCCGCAGTGTAAACGGCTTGGTAGATACCGCTAAGATAGCAGCGACGGGTGATCTCCTTGATAAGGACGGGGGTCAGACGCTTGGAGCGCAACTTCTTGTGAATGCACAGGAAGTTGATCTCCGTCACCTTGATCTTCTGATCACGAACGCGAACCTCCGTGGGAACACCGCAGATCGAAGCGACCAATTTCTTAGACTTGCTCGCGCGGACACCGACGTGCCATTCCTTCTTCCAGCCCGGAGACATCAAAGCCCTAGAGCCCAACATAGTCAGTAACATGTGTCGAGAAAATAATCAGATGGACCAACCAGTGCAAAAATGACTTGGAATATCTGAACCGGAACATAGCATTGTCATCCTCGACGTAATGGTATGTCAACAGATCCCACAGTTCTTGGAGTTCATCGTCGTTGGTAAGGTCCAGCGTTGCCCACTCAAATCCTTCGACCAGCGTATCGGGAGTCTTGGACACCTTCTCAGGGTCGATGATCTTGATAGGTCCGCCAGCATCGTTGGCTGCCTCATCGAATCGAGGCACTGGCTGTGTCTGCCAGAACTTGTACGAAGCCATGTCCTTCTGGTTCTTTCCGCCCACAGCAAGACCCGTCAACAGCTCAGCAATATCCATCTTCCGTAGAGCTTCCGCAGCCTTGTCCTTGTCCATTCCGGCCAGCTCATTCTTCAGGGCGGCGTTGCTCTCCAGCAGAGCCTCCACTGCCTTGGTGGACAGCTTGTTACCTGGCGCATCCTAGAGTAGCTGCTTGTTAGGGGATCTCCAAACATTGAGGGGCATGAGAGATTTGGGTTCGCAAATTGGAAGCCACTTACTTCAGCTTTGGGCGCCTCGGGGGCCTTGCCCTTGTTATCCTTGGGGTCCGACATCACAGCTTGTAGCAGCGGAAATAATGAATCGAAGTTCGAGGGGTTCGGACCAAAGTGGACACGGGAAGGTTTTCTAAGCAGCCCCACGTTGCCGCTGTTCCTGCGCGGGGAGGGGAGCTTACTCTCACTGCCGCGGTAATGGCAGCCACTTCCATACACTACTAGTGATAAACACTTCTACAGTGAAGCTTTCTTTGGGATCCACAACACCGCCGCGCTGATTTTGTTTCATACTAGTATATACACAAGACAATAAGAGCTTTGTTGAAAGATATCAGACGCCCCTTCTAATGCTATCTCGACATCATCGGACCATTAATCATGCAAATAAGGCACCAGCCTTTGGCTAGCGGGTATCACCAGAATTGTTGTTGAAACCTCATGGTGAGGCAGAAAAATGAAAGACAAACAGAAAAGGATTTGGGCAAGTACATTCAGTTGTACTGGGCGGGCTTCGTCTCAATCACATCCAGGAACCCTCCGACAAGGAGCAAGCTACCTGTGACAAAAGTCATGACAGGAGCCTCATCTTGACCTACAAGTCCCCTCTCTCTTGTCGCAAGTTCCCTAGCGAAGTCTACAGCCTCTTCAATAGTTCCATACACCTTGACCTCGGTGCGGGGATCAATCGAATGCCACTTTTCAGCAAGGCTTTTCTGGACTTGTAGTCTCTGCACGTCATCCGCATTCGTGTTCAAACTAACCAGATCAGGACGGTAGCCTGCATCCTTGTAGGTGACATTCGTGCAAAAGAGAGCATGAGTGAACGGCTGTTCCGCGCCCAAGGCTGCCGATAAGGTCTCATGTAAAGCCTCGGCAAGAGCATTACTATCGCGAGTCTGCTGGTTGAAGATCAAAACGCGCAGCTTTTTGTTCGCGGCTGCCGTAGACGAAGAGTTGGCTTGTACCTGGGAAGCGAACCACTGACCAGCGAGCCTAATACTTTCCAAAGTATGGCCTCCATCAAGGTACCAGGTGACTTCTTTCTCATGTCGCGTCTCACAGCGACCTCCCAGTCGGGCAGACTCCAACCCTTGGCGGAATGCTGGCGGCAAGGGCTTGGAAAGGATGTCCGACGGGACATCCTCGACCCCGACCTTTCTGAGAAATTCGGCAGCTGCAGCGACGGCGACGGCGGCATTCGTATACTGGAAATCACCAGCCAAACCAAGCTTTACATCTCCCTTAGTGGTAAGCTCGGGGTGGCCTCTCACTATCTCAAGCTGAGTGCCTTTCTCCGCTGCGCGCTCGTATAGTACCTTCTCTGCGGTTGGAGGCTGCGGCGCACTGAACGCTTGAGTACCAGGCTTAATGATACCGCCTTTGTGCCAAGCGATCTCTTCAATGGTATTGCCGAGCATGGCAGTGTGGTCGATGCCCAAACTAGTGATCGCAGTCGCAGCTGGCTTTTCAATCACATTTGTGCAGTCGTACTCTCCACCAATACCGCACTCGATGACAGCGGCGTCTACCCCCTCGCTAATGTAGGTGTGGAAAGCCATCAAAGTCAGGTACCGGAAGTATTGCGGCTTGGTTCGTAGGCTTGTTGGGTCCTCGCCCGCCTTTTGCGCGGCCTCTTCGAGTCTATCCCATACCTCAAAGAAGTATTTGGCAAATTTCTCTTCGGAGAGTGGAGTATTATCGATCTTGATACGTTCGCGGGCGAATCGCAGGTGGGGTGAGGTGTAAAGTCCGACCTTGTTGAGCTTGCGCGAGGGGGCATCCGCGGATCCAGAAGGAGTATACTGGGACAGGATAGAGGAGATGAAGGACGACGTCGATCCTTTGCCCTTCGTACCGGCAACGTGAATAGGATTTATTTGGTTCAGATCAGAAGGCTATAGAAAAAGGTCCAGTCTTAGTAATGACAGACAAGGCTTTCCGGCTTATGAATCTGCTGTGGAAGGTGGTACTAACCTGGTAACCAATGCGTCGAAGCCACTCTACAGTCTCCGGAAGGGAGCGTAGGTTCATGTCTTTCCTAGACACCGACTTCCTCAATTCCTCAACCACCGCAAAATTGGTTTGCAGCGAGTTGAGGGCCGCAATCGCAGCCTGCGTTCTGTTAGAATGGTAATCCAGTCATTGAGTCATCGGCCTCCGATCGGAGGTGCGCGTACCTCATAATTGCGGGACATGACTGTGGCACAAGAGAAGTGTCGACGCAACTGGCAAGACCTATAGAAAGGAGAAAATGGTCGAATGCCCCTCATGAGGGTCGAGTAAGAACCCGCTCACGTGCCTTGTTCGAGACTGAGGGGTTGCAGGTCGATTACCACACCGGTACCAATGAATAGAGAGAGACCTGCTGCTCCGATTAAATTGGCTTATGGAGGTTCAGCTGAGCTGCCGGCAGTAATGACGCTAAGCCCGATTACCTTTAAACGACCCAGTTATCCGGCAAATCAACTTGACCACTATGGTTCTTTGTGGGCCGTCCCGCTATTATTTGCGATTGTTAAGTCATTCTCAATTGTCATTTTCATCACCAAAACTGTACGCATGAGCCGGTTATCGCTGACTACTGGGAGCAAGAAGCCACCCCTCTATCATGTGATGTGTAAGCCGGAAGCAGAAATCAGACCACGATGTAACCCAGAGGTGATACTTAGAGAAGAGTCAATTCTATTTAGATTACTTGCTTTCTAATTCGTGTGGGCAAAAAGTAAGACTTGCAACAGCCAATGGCGCGACCATCAGCGAGAATATCACATTAGGGTTGACGGACTTCTATAAAAAGTAATAATAAGAAATAAAGGCCGGGGACCAGAACTTGGAAACAGAATATGAAATAATAAAAGAGGGAAAGAAACAACATAACGGATCTAAAGTCAAGTGAACAAGCAAGCAACACTAAATGTACAGAAACACGTAGTGGTCACTTAACATGCTTAGTTTTGTTGAAGCGGTGGATGAAAAGTACGGTGGGACAAATTACTCGATCCTCGTTTTGCCCTCCTCGAGGAACACCAGCCGAGCATTGCTGTACCCTCTCTGGTGCCTCCTCGCAGGGAGTAGTTGGCCGACTATAGGATCAGACCGAGCCTTTATGAGCGCATCTTGATACCCCTCAGAGCCAGCTGTAGGTGTGTTCAATTTCGGCCAGTTTACCTGTGTCGTGGGGTCAGTATGTGGGCATAACAAGGAGGACAACAAGTCTTACATAGAGCATTCCGTGAGCAAGGATAAAACGGGCACACCAGGCGCTGACGATGAACCAGAAAAGAACAAATAAGCGCAGAGGCCACACGGTGGAGTCGGGCAAGCGTCTCGTGAAGGCAGCTACCGTGATCAAGAAGACTCCAGCAGCAAAGATATACGGAACAGACTGGATGATCAGTGGTCGACGATCCAAGAAGAGCTGAATGTTCCCAAGGGTGGAGTTCGGGGGAAGATAGGTGCCCAGGAAGACATCGAACCCATCTTGTCGAGGACCGTCCATGAAGTTGTTCCGTACATATCGTGTGATGGAGTTGTTCAAGTCTTGCAGCATACCAGCGCGAGTGCGCTCGCCAGTCCGGGTGAAATCGGTCTTCAACGCTCCAGTACCGGAATAGGCCTTAGACACAACATCAGCATTGTCTGCCCAGATGTTACGGAATAGATTTTCGAAGTCGCGGTCATCATTCGCTGCTTCTCCAGGCTGTAAAACTCCTGCGTCAACGAGCTGACGTGTTATAGCCCAACGTCCCAGCATACTCTGAACGACATTTGTACGATCCAGACAGTCCATGCAGTTCGTCCGGACGACGCTAGACTGCGCGGAGCGTGTATCCAATTGACCACCAGGAGCACCCGGATTTTCTACTCCACGGAAATAACCGCCTCGTGTTAGACCGTCCATTAGCCGTTCCAGCAGCAACTCCGCACGATGCCACTTGAGACCCTTTGTCTCATTGTGAAAGTCGAAATATACGTAGTGGAGTCGGTCCAACTCTTTCTGCCTGAGCCCGGGCTCCACCGCGTGCACCTTCTCCGACGTTATTTCATCCGCTTCGGTGCTATCGGTAGAGGACGACACGAGGATGCGAACGAGCTGTTCGTAGGCAGTCTTCACACGCTCTTCCCTGCCTTTCTGGTTCACGAGGTTGACCAGGTAGTTCTCGCCATAGACACGGATCTGCTCAGCGAAATGCTTACGAGCAGCATCGACGGCAGTTTCAACCCCCCGGACCTGCAGCTTCGGTGTGTACTTCAGGTTGTTGACTTCGGCCCAGTATACGGGCACACTTCCTCTGGTCTGTACGAACGCCATGACCTGAAGGTCCTGCGCTGAGCCACCCAATTTGTCCTTTGCTAGGGACTGGCCTCCAGAGAATCCAGAGAGACCTCCCGTCGCATCATTGAGTATAACAATCTGCTCAGTCTCATTGTAGTTGGACACGTGGCCTTGATCATCGATACCGCGGGAGAAATACCTTGTCCCACCGCGGTACCTAGATCTCCTGGTTATAAGAGCAAATGTGAAAGAAGTGGACTTGACTTTTGCGGGCGTGATGCGAAGCATTCCGAACATAACAGGCAGAATATACGGGTCAACTCCAGGTTGTGGTCCGTAGCGCACCCCGGTAACATCGTGTTCTCCCAGACTGAAGTCAATCAAGTCGGACTGAATGAAACGGTTCCAGAAAAATCGATCATCGGCTCGTTTCCACATAGGAAGGTTGGGGTCGGTTTGCGACTGACGTTGGAAGCTATTGGTGATATCCAGAGCGTAGGAAAAGTACATAGGTCCCGTACGGAGCAGCTCCTTCAACAGTGCCAGATAGGTGTCTTCATCATAGTCGTGCAGAGAGCGCTCACGCAGAGGCAAGAACTCGGTCGCCGCAACCTTATAGACCATGTGGCCGCGTAGGCGCCCCACGGGCAGGGCCTTGGTGATAACTATAATGTATTTATCTAATCAAATTAGTGTGGTGTGTACTACAGACGGACAGGAGAGTATATTGACATGGACTCACCGAGCTTCAGTTTGATAATACCCAGAATGCCTGCAATACTGGAGATGCGCTTGGCTCCGGAGAGGGTGCCGTTACTGAGCCGCAAGTCGCCGGTCGGACGCTCGACAACAAGTGTCGGGGCATTAGGGGATGAGGGTGAAGTGAAGGCATAATGAGAGGAGGCAGCGTGCAAATTGATGTCGCGAAATGGAAGAACGGAGGCAGCCATTGTTGGGCGATTACCCACTACGTGGGATGAAGAAGCTCAGAAGAAGGGAGAGATACTAAAAAAGAAGTATAGATCAGGGGAGGGTGAAAGAGTGTGTTAGAAAAATTCAGCGCATATTGCGCAAGAGGAATGGGGGGGGAAAGTGAAAGGGAACGGAAGGTGAGAGGCACGAATGAACAACAGGCAGAGACGTAATTTCAGGGAACCCCGGGATGATCTCCAGGGAGGCTCGGGAGCAAGAGAAACGGAGGTACCTCACAGCACCTCGTTGTGCCAGCATGTGCTGGTGGTGATAAGCAAGGCTGGCGCGGACGGAATCGGCCAGGGCCGCCACACCGCCCCGCAGAGCGGCCAGTCGGCTTGGGCCAGGTGTGGCTGAATCCCTTCGTCATCTACCACCGACAGGCCGCCATCAAACCTCCCAGCATCCCGAGTCCGCCTCCAATACTTGTTTCCTCCCTTCATCTCGATCTATCCACCTCATCCAGCTCCCCCTTTTTGTGCTTATATCGTGGGCGCTATTCTCTCTTGACTCATTCTCGTTAAAGTTGTTCTTTCGACCATATCGACTATGGCCTCCAGAGCCGCAGCAGGCGCCCGTCCCGGGGCCAGGTTCGCTCAGTTCAAGCTTGTATTGCTGGGTTGGTTTCCCCCTGTTATTGGCCCCACTATAGTATGCGTCAAAAGTACTGACATGTTGTTTTCGTTCGCCCTTTCTAGGAGAGTCCGCAGTCGGAAAGGTTGAGATTTTGTAATTTTCAGGGTCCTAAATAGCGGTCGCTGACTATCTTGCTCCACAGAGTTCGCTAGTACTGAGATTCGTCAAGGTGGGATAAGTCGTCCATATTTCCGGAAATTTATCTACAAGAGAACGATTTTCCGGATAACTTACTGGGGCTAACACTGCATAGGATCAATTCGATGATTACCGCGAGTCGACCATTGGCGCCGCCTTCCTCACACAAACCATCTCCCTGGACGAAAGTACGACAGTCAAGTTCGAGATATGGGATACAGCCGGCCAGGAGAGATACAAGTCTCTGGCTCCCATGTATTACAGGAACGCCAACTGCGCGGTCGTTGTGTACGATATCACTCAGGCTGTATGATTCCCGGCTCGACCTCCTCCATTCCTATGGTAACTAATTAATCGTAACGTTGAGCAGTCGTCGCTGGACAAGGCCAAGTCATGGGTGAAGGAACTACAGCGTCAGGCAAACGAGAATATTGTCATCGCCCTTGCAGGAAACAAGCTCGATCTCGTGACGGAGAGCCCGGACAAGAGGGCCATTCCTACGGCTGACGCCGAAGCCTATGCACGTGAAGCTGGTCTTCTGTTCTTCGAGACATCTGCAAAGACCTCCTCTAATGTTAAGGAACTATTCACAGCAATCGCGAAGAAGCTCCCTCTTGACCAGGCAGGTCCTCGAAACTTGCGCACAACTCCCCGTCCTGGTGTCGATCTGCGGCCAGAAGCACCCGGTACCCAAGGTGCCGGTTCCTGCAACTGCTAGGCTTTCCAAGTGGCGTATACTAACTAACTGTTGTGTGTCGAGTCCTCGATCTAATCCACCTTTCTTTTCCTTTCCTCCTTTCGCATGGGCTATTGTTAGATGCAGGAGACGTGTGTCTTCTAGCTTGACTGTGAACCGGCACGCTGGGCAACAGTGTGCAACCCGTCAGCGACTTTGAACAAGACTGTTTTATGGCTTTCTAATGGTGCCGTGATTACTGCAACTTTGGCCGACCGGCGTCGTATAGGTGTCTCTTGCTTCCCAGGGGATTCAATCATCCCTACGGATTTGAACATGATGATTTATCCAGTCATCATCAGTCTTTCTCACTGCACACTGGTCTGACAAGACGAAGATTTTCAAATACCGTCATTGGATGTGGAGGGAGAGCTTAACACTGTACTGGCACGGTTGGATTTGACTGTCTAGACATTATGCCACAGGGATGGACCTATGATTTCTTTGTTCCGCGTTGTTCTCTGTGTCTCTGCTTCCTCGTTCCTGGCGTCTGTATCCTTCTGAATGGGTTGAATTCATGTCACTTTCTTACTTTTTCTTTGTGTTCTCCCTGAGACTCTCAGTATGCTATGCCTATATAATACTTCACCTTCAGTCATCTGATCTGAACTAGCCATCTACTAATTCCAGTGGCATACACATAGTAAGTGTTTGAAGCATGGTGAACCTCGTAGACGCAAAGATCAGATAAATTTTATGAGATAAAACAATTAGTAATTGCTACTGCTACAAAGCTAATTTGTGGACAAGATAATGTCCTGCAGCATTGGATAAGACAGCTAGCTCGGTCTATCCGGACAGCCGGCGCGGGCGGTGCGAAGTGACCCGAGCTGAGCCACTCTTTGGCGGTGCAGGATCGGAGCGGATCGTAAAAGCACCTATCCCAATTCCGGTCCGCGTTTTCACTCCCATCAACACCAACCCCTCAACTAAGCCAGCTCCCAGCGCTCATCTCCATGGTAGTGCGGCCCATGATGCTGCGCTCTTCTGTTGCACCGGGACGACAGTTGCTGCTGTCCTCCGCTCGTCAGCGGACCGCCTCCCAATGGCTGTCCAGAGCCGGAGCAAGCAGCCGGCTTTCAGGTCAGGTACGGTGACGGCATCCGCAGTCGAGTCATAAACATCCTAACTAATCTCGTCTCAATTCTCTGCAGAGGTTCTTCGCCGATATTAAGCCCCCTACCACCGCTGCTCCTACGCCCGCTACTCCGTCTTCCGAGTCTGCTGTTCCCCCAGAGACCGTCCCTAAGCCATCACCCACAGGACAAGGTACGAATGCTCTGATCAGTTGAGTCGCAAGCTTCCCCAGTGCTGATGTATGACAGAGTCCACTCTCCCTCCCTCTACTCCTCCTACCCCAGCTCCTAAGGGTGGACGCTTCCGCAGATTCCTTCTCTACCTGCTGCTTACCTCCGGATTCGCATACGGTGGCGGCGTTTTCCTGGCTTTGAAATTCGATAACTTCCACGATTTCTTTACCGAATACATTCCCTATGGTGAGGAGAGTGTCCTTTACTTCGAAGAGCGTGACTTCTATCGTCGATTCCCCAACACTTTGAGAAACCAGAACCGCCTTAACCCGACCCCAAGGGATGAAGGAAACAAGATCACCATCCCAAGCAAGAGCGGACTTACCTCGAAGGTCGCCGAGGAGGAGACCTCGGGAGCAGATGTTTCCCAGAAGGGCCCCCATATGAGTGCCACTCCGGCTCCGAAGAGCTCCGAAGCGCAAACCAAGCCCGCCGCCGCTAAGCCCGAGGACAAGACCACAGCTGTTGTGAAGGCCAAGGAGGAGAAGGCCGCCAAGGTTGCTGAGAAGGAGGAACCCAGACAACCGGCCATTCCTGCTGTTACCCCTCTCGAGTTTGCTCAGGTCAACGAGGGAGATGAAGCGATCGTCCAGGAGCTGGTGAAGACGTTCAACGACATGATTACCGTCATCAGCGCTGATGAGAACTCCGGCAAGTACTCTCAGCCCGTGGCCAAGGCCAAGGAGGAACTCCAGAAGGTTGGAGAGAAGATCATCGCTGTTCGTGAGGAGGCCCGTCGTGCCGCTCAGGAAGAGATCCAGCAGGCCCATGCTACTTTCGATGAGTCTGCTCGCGAGCTCATCCGCCGTTTTGACGAAATGCGTGCGGCCGATGCCGCCCAGTACCGCGAGGAGTTTGAGGCTGAGCGCGAAAAGTTGGCCCATGCCTACCAGGAGAAGATCAGAACCGAATTGCAGAGGGCTCAGGAGGTGGCCGAACAGCGCCTCAAGAACGAGCTGGTTGAGCAAGCCATTGAGCTTAACCGCAAGTACCTGCACGAAGTCAAGGAGCTCGTGGAGCGAGAACGTGAAGGCCGTCTCAGCAAGTTGAACGAACTCACCGCCAACGTCAGCGAGCTGGAGAAGCTTACCTCTGGCTGGAGAGAGGTCATTGACAGCAACCTCAGGACCCAACAACTCCAGGTGGCTGTTGATGCCGTGCGCTCCGTTGTTGATCGCTCTGCCGTTCCTCGCCCTTTCGTCCGCGAGCTTGTCGCCGTGAAGGAATTGGCCGCTGAGGACCCCGTTGTTGAGGCCGCCATCTCTTCTATCAACCCTGCTGCTTACCAGCGTGGAATCCCTTCGACCTCTCAGATCATTGAGCGCTTCCGTCGTGTCGCTGATGAGGTGCGCAAGGCCAGCCTTCTGCCCGAAGATGCAGGTATCGCTAGCCACGCTGCCAGCGTTGTTCTGAGCAAGGTCATGTTCAAGAAGGATGCTGTTGCCGGTAGCGACGATGTGGAGAGTGTGCTGTACCGGACCGAGAGCCTTCTGGAAGAAGGTAACCTCGATGCTGCAGCTCGTGAGATGAACAGTCTTTCGGGGTGGGCCAAGATTCTGAGCAAGGACTGGCTTGTGGATGTTCGCAGAGTGTTGGAAGTTAAGCAAGCTCTGGAGGTAAGGATTCCCCCTAAAAGTTCCTGTCTGTCTAAATGATATCGAACTGACATATTCTATCTGCAGGTGATCGAAACCGAGGCGCGTTTACAATGTTTGAGGGTTGAGTAGAGAAATAATTCTCCCGACATCATTTTAGCTTTCTTGTACCTCATGCCTCCTATCTACAGGACTTGTACCTCTAGTTGTCCGCCTGCGTTGTTAGAGTCAATGCTAGATATTTTCCTTTGTATATTGTATACTAGTTGGGAGCTTTAAGCGCCTTTTCTAGAAGAATCCCACTGCTGCACCATGTATGTGTGGAGTGGAGCATCTTGATAAAGTCGATAATCAAGTCTGGGGAATGCTTAATATTGATGGGGATTGTTTGCTGTGTTTGCAGTTCCACGTGGGCCGCGGCGCATGATGCACCTGCTGCCTACTGATGAAGTAGCGATCGTCAGACCACATCTGGACGACGAGGACGAGGGGGTGTCCAGATTGATCTTCCTAGATGGTTATTTTCCCTTGAGGAGCCATGACTGAACTCTAGTGATTTCTCGCATATCTCCATGTCGGCCTTTCCTCGTGGACGTTGCCCCCTTTCCTATCCCGCGGGACGGACCACTTCGTCACCATAGCTTTGATGTCGCCGAAGACTAATGATTCCTATCCACTTACACCTCCTATACCCGAGACCGATGAGACACAGCCAGATTACCACACACGCTACAATACGTCTCATGATAACTCCGACCGAAAAAAGGGTGCGCACATGAACGAGGGACGAGCGAGCGGGGAGCTAGAGGGCAGCACTCTCGGCAGCAGCTCTCGGGATGGCGATAAAGGAGGCCGGGCCCAACGCCGAACGGCCAGCTCCGGCGGCTTCCTAGTCGATTCGTCTTTTTTACCCAGGTCAAAGAGCTTGCGTGCAAGCCAATACCTCCCTCGCCGCTCAGAATCCAGCCGCAAGGAGAAGCGTGAAGCACCCGAACCTGAATTGGTAGTTCCGAAGAAGCGATCACGATTTCCTTGGATTCGGCATAAAGAGCAGAAGGTATCCCAAGTAGAGCAGGCGGAGCATACCAATCATACGGAGCATACGGAACCCACAACAGCGGAGGAGACTCCTGCTTCATCGAATTTGGAGCAGGATGCGGCTTCCCAGGAGTCGCATACCAAGCAGACGGACAATCAGGACACCATAGGTCTTGATAGGGATTCGCTCCAGATAGTGAATCTTGCCTTGAACTTGAGCGAGTCGAGGAAAAGGAATAGCCTGGGTCGCTCTGCTTCAACTCGTCTTTCGGGAGGTAGATGGGCTCTGGCAGGTGGTCAAACATCCGCTCCATACACTGTTAGACATGCATCGGTTCCAGTAACCGACCTGGGGCATGGCGGCTCTCAACATGGCCAGAGGGTCACACAAGCACCGGGTGAAGATCATACCAGAATAGTCGACTCCTGTCAACTGAGCGGACCGTCGACTCATGCGCCATCTTCAGTGGCAAGTCTACTTCCACATTCCGCTGGATCGGAACCCTTGCCGCAGGGCTTCTCAGAGAGCACACTTGCTCGAGCCGAGAAAGCTCGTCGCCATTTTGAGCTATTTTCGGAATATCTCCGACTACTTCCTTCCCTTCCTCCTCTGCAACCGATTGACGATCAAAATGCCGATTCAAGATCTGTGCATAGCAGTGGCTTTTCATCACACCGAGTCTACAATCCTCTTCAGTGTATTCGCAATCGCAAAGTGAGATTCCGTGAGCGATGTGCAATAGACACGGAGGCAGCGGGGTGGTACGATACGGAGAAGGTACATCAGTGGGTTGATTCAGTGCAAGCTGAATACAGCCAGCAGCCGCACGGTCCCCTTGAATGTCTGCGGCTTCCATCGTTTCATAATTGTAAAGATGCTACGCCGCGTGCAGAGGTAGACGAACCTGATCATCTTGCCGTCTCTCCTCCTTCAAGTCTGAGACGTGCTAGCCGCGCTAGCAGTGTCAAAGCACGCAGGCCACGGTCAGACTGGGTCATCGACCCAGCAGAGTTCCTTTTCGATGCCGCATGGGTTGAGGAAAGGCAGAATAAGAGTAAGATCGTTGATAGAGACGGGAATCATCTCTACCCAGATCCTTCGATCCTCATTACTCCTGATGATGATCAGACGCCCATTAAACCACCGGAGCCGCTACAGAATAATCGGCAATCGCTAGACTCGGAACACCCCAATTCTCGTACCTCGTTGTCTGATTCGCGCTCGGTTTTGGCGACAGAATTCAACAGAGTCGGGCGTGGACGGCGCCGGCACAGGTTCCACGGCTCTGGCCGTAGTGGACATGGAGCCGAAGCATCAAGGAAAATGACAGGCTCTAAGAGGCATAAACTCGGACTATTATCCAGTAGCTCTTCGAGCATCTCTAGTGCTGAGGGACGTCTGTACCGGGAATCGCCAATGGATAATACGTTGTCCTCTGAAAGGGATGTGTCCCCACTGCCCGGCGCCTCACGACTTCGAGCCTCTGAAGCGCTTCCTGAATATGACACCGCCATGGATACCAGGCTGACGCCAACCCATGACACTTTTCCTCGTTATGTGACCGGAAGATCTCCTACTTGGGCCCGGTCAGAGGGAAAGCGAAGTTCTATATCCTCTATTCCAAGTGTTGATGACCGCTACGACCCCCTGACAACCTTATCAACTGCAGAAAGCAGGTCTCCCGAGCTCCATGCGCAGGTCGGCATGTTTCCAAGTATCGCATCCAACCTATCCCCACCGGCAAGCCGTTCGCCGTCGCCTACAAAAGGCCGCTTCTCACGTGCTATTGGTGCTCGACATGAGCGGAGTAAGAGCAATATTCGGACAAAGGATATTGCAGATGATAGCTCCCTGGAGTCGGCGGCTTTGCGCAAGGATACTTCAACTGGGCATCCCGAGGGTATTCCCCAAGGTGGAAGGCTGGAACCAAGCCCGCTTCCCGATCGAATCTCTTCAGTATTTCAGGAAGACCCATCAAAGTTCAACTCACAAAACCGCAAAGACGCAGTACAGGGCGAATCCAAGCTGCGTGGAATATTCAAAGGCCCTGGGAAGATCGCAGAGAAAGTGGGCAACGAAATGTCAAAAGTAGGGGATCTAATACTTAAAAAGGATACCGTTGCCCAGTCACGGAGATCTTCCGTTTCAAGCACGGATAGTTCTGTTTCCGATCCTTCTGATGACCCCGAAGAAGCTAGAGGTGATAGAATGTCTGGCGCCAAGTCTCTTTTGCGCCGGTTTCCTACGTTCTCCGACGATGCCAATCGAACTTCACGCAGGAACCTTGAGAAGATCAGTTCGAAGACTAATGTGCCTTCTATGTCTCCCTTTGTCTCCACGCCTCGGCATGATCGATTAGAAGAACATCAACCGCCTGTCGACGGCAGTCCTTCGAAGGCCGGTGCTGACATCGACACGACGGACTCACAGAGAGAAGTGGGTGGGTTTTCTACATCTCTCCATACGCCAGCAACCCGTCATGAGAAACTACGATTTGGCCCTGATATTCATACTGTGCCAGAACAATTCAGAAAGCGTAACATCAGGGATGTCGGTGTTCCCTTCAGTTTGACAAGGCCTCCTGTCACGGGTCTTGCTCAAGCGAGAGCAGACACTACTTCATCGTCCCAGGAAAAACGCCCAAGACTGGCAACTGAGTCAAGAAGCTGGAGTATCTCTAACCGCAGCTTATCTAGCTCGCTTGTTGTTGGTGTTCCGGGCAAGCGCGAGATTGAGCGCACCCGAGCCCTTCTTCTTTCTTCGGGAATCAAAGCTCGAGAGATCACCCGCCGAGCAGAATGTGTGCGGCAGCCACCACCAGACTTCCTTCGGCGCACATTTGGTACGGAAGCATCCGTACCTCAAGTAAGTCGGCTTTATGAGTACGATGTAGCCGCACAGGGCCTGCTCAGAAGCTTCGAGAAAACACATCGTTCGTTCCAACAATCCATAGACGATTTCTCTGGCTCGGTCTCATCTCCTTTAAGATCGCAACTGAACAAACTCGAGGACATGGTCAACGAGACGATTTCCCCGCGTGTTCAGGCAGCCACACAGGATGCGGAGGACTTGAGCATTCAGCTCAACACCACTAGTACGCTTGCTGTTAAACAGCTGAGCGATACACTCGACAAAGGAGTCAGGAGGCGTCATCGCCGGCTGCGCTGGGTACGGCGCACTGGGTTTGTGATGCTCGAATGGGCATTAGTTGGTATGCTCTGGTGGGTTTGGCTAATTGTGATGGCTTTCAAGATCTTGCGAGGCGTTTTTCGGGGTGTTCTTTCAGGTGTCAGATGGGTCTTGTGGTTGTGAATGCGACAAACTGAGAAGAAAGGCTGTTGTTTCCTCGTTATTATACCCCCATCTGATTCTACATGTTCCTAGCGTTTGTTCCCTTTTCTACATCACTGATATCCGTTTCACAATTCTTGTATTATATAGCTTTTTTATGATTGATAATTATTTTAATTTGGTCTTCATGAAACTTGTGGCGAAGATAGCCAATTGTCCATGGTATTGCCGTAAACACCGTCATTGTATCCCCTCTAGCATAGTATGGCCAGAATAGTCCTTTCGAAGGACAATAGTTGCTGAGAATAAAGGATTTGTATCTCACAGCAGAAGATTGCCGATATACATGGTAGTGTTTCCAGATTGCGGATCAGGTGACGCTGTCTAACTGAAACTCACTTCCTTTCATTGATAACTGGGAGTTCTTCACCAGTCCACGGCCATCGTCGTGACGACGATAGAATATCAGACACTCGTATATAACATTCTCGCCCGGCCCCTGTTCCTCGAATTCTTTTTCCTGCTCGGTCCCAGCATGCCGTCCCCATGCAGCAGACCCCGGTTCAAACAAAAGAAGAAGCCGCAACAAAGTGAAACATTGACCGTAAGCCTACTCTTTGTTTTGACATAAGGAGAACTCCAAACGAGCCTCAGCTCATATCCAATATCTCTGGCTTCACAACATATAAACAGTTGGAAACCTTCTAGCCCCCACCTCGTGTTAGCATCTTACAACCCATGCAATATTGGCACTTGTTTCAAATCCCACCATCAACAATTATCATATCTCTCCCTCTATATTCCCTTCCCCCCACTCTCCTAACTATACTCTCCGTCGACTACCTACCTATTTCCTACAACCTTCCCAACCAACTGAACAACTATACCAACAATAATCATAACCACAACCATCTTTAACTAGCCCCCTCCGGAAATGTCCCTACCGTCACAACGCAAATTCAACTTAAATGCCAACAAGGCAAATCCTGCGGTGAGTGGAGGGCTTAAGCGTTCAAATGCACAGCACCGCAAACACCAAGATCTGGTCCCCCTGATGTTCGACCCTACACAGGCACTGACATTTGACCAGTCGTCCAACAGCTGGAAGAGACAGGAGTTCAAGCAGGATCCTCTGAACGAACTTACTATCCGTCCTGGTGCGGAGCAATCTCGAAACAAAGACAAGGGCAAGCGTCCGGCGAATATGAATGCATGGTCGGCCAAGTGTGGTGGTGTTTGTTCGACAACGACGACTATGTCCTCGAAGAGTAGTACTAGCCTCAACCCTGGAAGTGTTAGTAGTAGTGGTCAGTTGGCTGGTCCAACTCGTGAGCGCGGAAAGATTGAGACGGATCCGAGCAAGGTGCGGTGGCCTTTGATTGGGGTGAGGCGTTGATAGTTTGGGTGCATGTTGCGGTTGGGCGGCTGGTTCCGTTCGAGTTGTTTATCTGAGATTGTTTGAATCATTGGGTTGGATTGACTTGCAGCGCTTCGGGTGGCTGCTAGGAATATCAATGTATGAGTACATGAGTTATGTTGTTATGTTGTCTTTTAGTGGCTTGTTGAGGTGTGGTCTTGGAGTTGGTGATTGTTCATTATTGGGCTTTTTGTGATAGTACAGTAGTGGTAATAATGACAATGTCTCCTTCTAAAGCCTTATGCTTGAGGGATATCAAACCTTTTGATATCTTTGTTTTCTGCTTTTTGCAATCATCAATTCACCAAAATCAGCATTCGGTGAGATTTAGTCAATATGTCTTGGTCCATACGATGCTAGTAAGTAGTAGTAGTAGGCAGTGCCCTACCACATGATGCCGTAAGATTGCTGGTCGTATCCCATGATTCGTGCCTCAATCGAGATATATTTAGTACACTGTAGGACGAACGGATCACTAGTAGTAGTTGGTTTGCCACTCATGTCTCAATCTGGTATAAGGCTACATAGCATTGTAAGACATGAATACAATACAATTCTACTTGACAAGCAGCAGCTAATATTATCATCTGGAGAATCCAGGACGTAGCCTTGATCTTGATGGGTGGTGCAAATAGGATATCCATCACGTGCCACATGACTGTAGATCAGGGACTGTCACCGCCCGAGTGGAGCGATTATAATACTGCCGACCAACGAGCCACGGCGGTCAAGCTTTCTGAGCCAATGGACAGGCGGCTAATAAGACGGGCATCAGAAAGACGGACGGCAGCGCGTCATGCCGCACTTTCCAAGAAACAGGCTTAAGTGGCGAAACCAGGAACAGTCTGTTCCGGGCCTATACTACCCATGTACGACCTGGTATAGCCGGTTCAAATTCTAGCTCGCGGGAAGGACTTGCCCGGTTCTCTTTCTTCACAACCGAGGGACCACTAACCTGTATTCCTTGCCAGTCGCGCGGGAAGTACGGCGTAGTACTCATCGATCTAGATAGTACGGATGACGCATCCCGGGGGGGCAGGTGCTGAGATGCAGCCGTCCTCTGGTGATAAGCAGAGGCATGTGGTTCGAGAGAAAAAGTGACTCAAAATGTCTGGTACACTAGCAAACTGTCCGTAGGTCCAGGATTCAGACGACGGATCTTCAGGGACTGATCTATTGGAAAGTTGAGGGAAAATCGGGAGGGCATCAGGCCGAATCAACGATCAAGGGGATCTGTCAGGTTCCCATGGGACAGGAGACAGGCAGCAAGATTGAGACCACGTCAACCATTACTGGCGGGAAGAGAGAAAAAGTAACCATACTGTGTGAAGGGCAGAGATCCACTCCGGGGTACGTTGAAGGTGAGGGAAATAATGATGGAAGGGCGAAGTAGAGACGGAGGTAAGATACATACTATACATACTATACATGACCGTACCGAGCGGTGACGAGAGAGGGGCACGGTGATTCGGGAGATGCCGTAATCTCCCCCCCCACGAGAACCACTCTCTCATTCCTCCATTCTGTCGCTGCTTTTTCTCTCTTCGACTTCGTCTGCATCATCCCTTTGTTGCGTTCCCCCGTGCACATCGAGCCATTGCGGTAAGTCTTCATCCATTCTCTCGTTCCTTGCTGGGTGTCCTGCAGCGCTCGGCCTTCCTCGTATTATCGACTCATCGAGATCGTTCCCTTCCCCCCCGGGTGTCTGCCTGACGCCGTGCCCTTTGCCCTAACCTCCGCGTCCAAGTCGTTAAAACTCTGCACGCACCTCTCACCTCCTGCCCTTCCCCCTCCCCTCCCCCCGGACCCAGAAATTAAATCTCGCAACCCCTTTCAATTCTCGTTGGAGCTGTCATACAAGCTTGCTGATCAGTGGCTGGTCGCGTCAGATTTCTTCTTATTGGGAAAAAAAAACCTTGTTTTTTTTTTCCCTCTCCCAATCTTTCACTCAATCTTTCCACGGCGCATTTTCTAGGCCTTTGGAATCCACCAGTTCCAAAGGCTCCAAGCTCACCACGGCTCTCGTAGCCTCGCGTTTCGTTCTTCGTCACATTGTATCTCCGAGACGTCCCCGCGACACTCTTAACAACATTCCCCCTCCTGCTGGTGTCGACTCCCGTGTTTCCGTTCGGTGCTCCTCCTTTTAACCTCCTGACGCCCACGCCGCTCATCCCCTCTTTTCTTGAGCTGCCGCATAGGACTTCTCTGAAGGTTCTTCCTCTCAAGGAGGAAGGGTCTAGGAGGCTTGGTCCAGTCAACTTCGGTTGCGAATCTTTTCGCCCTCCCTAACACGCAGTCGCGTTAAAGACACTCAACTTTTTTTTATTACTTTACTTTTTTTCAAAGACCTATTCCGTGCTCCGTCGCAGCGCGCATGGTTATGGCACCGACTGCTTGTGTACCTGCTGAAGTATGCACTCCTAAATACTACCAGGAGAAACAAGACCATAATCTCAATTGGGATCATGGTCAATTCAGCAATCATGGAGGGGACGACATATCGCAATCCAGGTTGGCTGCCAAGGAACTAGTCTTGGACATCCTGAAGAAGCGCGCAGCCGAGGTCAATGTGGACAGCTGCGCGCCGGGTGAGGAGGACGCGTTTTACGTGGCAGATATGGGGGAGATCTACCGCCAGCATCTGCGCTGGAAAATGAACTTGAGCCGTGTTCGGCCTTTCTACGGTAAGGACTGGATGCTCAATTGGGGATCTTGTGACAGCGGCTAACATTGAGTCAATAGCGGTCAAGTGCAACCCGGACCCGGAGATCCTTCGCCTCATGGCTAAACTCGGAAACGGTTTTGATTGTGCGTCCAAGGCCGAGATCGACATGGCCCTTGACACCGGCATCGACCCGAGCCGCATCATCTACGCGCAGCCCTGCAAGACCAAGTCCTATCTGCGCTACGCGGCCCAGGTGGGCGTCAAGCAGATGACTTTCGACAACGCCGATGAGCTGTACAAGATCAAGGCCAACTACCCGGACGCTGAGCTTTATCTGCGCATCCTTACGGATGATTCGAACAGTTTGTGCCAATTCAGCATGAAATTCGGAGCTTCCCTGGACGTTGCTCGCCAGCTCCTCGAATTGGCGTACCAGCTCGAGCTCAAGGTTGTCGGCGTGAGCTTTCACGTCGGATCGGGCGCTGAGGATCCTAAGGCTTTCCTGAAGGCCGTGCAGGACGCGCGCCTCGTGTTCGACCAAGCCGCAGAGATTGGCCATGAACTGCACACTTTGGATGTCGGCGGAGGTTTCTCCCAGGACACGTTCGAGAAATTCGCCGGCGTTCTGAGCGAGGCGTTGGACACCTACTTTCCGCCTAGCATCCGGGTCATTGCCGAACCGGGTCGCTACTATGTTGCCAATGCGTTCACTCTGGCAGCCAACATCATCGCTCGCCGTGAGGTGCGCGACCCGGAGGACCCGACCAACGACGCCTATATGCTGTATCTCAACGACGGGGTGTATGGAAATTTCTCCAACATCATTTTTGACCACCAGCACCCCGTGGCTCAGGTCCTGACCTGCGCATCGGCCGCGAACTCCCCTTATGCTGCGACTTCGGGGGGTGTCACGTACTCCATCTGGGGGCCGACCTGTGACGGCATTGACGTTATCTCCAAGCGCATTGAGCTGCCAGCTCTGCTGGAAGTTGGAGATTGGCTTTACTTCGAGGAGATGGGAGCCTACACCAAGTGTAGCGCGACCCGCTTCAACGGCTTTTCGGACAACCACGAGGTGATTTACATCTCCAGCGAAGCCGGGGCTTCTGCGCTCCTCGAGTACTAGATTTACTATTGTTTGATATCTTTTTTGGCTTCTATGTTTGGTACCTATATGTTGCTCTACTTAGTAGGTCGCTCGTTGACTTGCTTTGTTAATAAATGTGTTCGTGTGCTTTTAGAGTAGATTTCGGGTCGAAATACAGTGTGCAGATTACTGAAGTGTCTATATATGGCCATCTATGCCTAGACCTTTTAATGGGTTTCCCCTATCTTCATTGCAGACAGAGTCATGTCTACCTCTAGTCTATCCTGACCTCTATCACCCCACATTGTCATCATAGTTTCATGTATACATAGCCCAACCCCGCAATCCACAGGTCATCCGATGCAGAGCCAGCTCCTGCATCATGCCCAATTCTAGATTCGGCAGAAAACAACATGTCTAAAACAAACCCATCTAGACCAGTCTCTCAACCACCAACTCCGCCCCCTCACTAGTACTTCCCTCCGCGACCTGAACCAGGCCACCCGCCTCCAGCCTCTTCTTCCACTTGCCCGACTCATACCGGGCCAGAATGAAGGTAATTCTAGCCGCCACCGCAGGATCGGCCGTCTCGGCCACCATATCAGACGGCGTGAACGTCCAGCGCCCAAAGGCCCAGTTCAGGATATAGTGTCTTGCTGCCGGGCCATCCACATCCACAGCCACCGATTGGCCCGCCTTCTGCTGCTCTTCCTCTTCCTCCGACGCAGCCGGCGGCGCAGCAGTCGAGCACCGCATGACGCCCTTGATCCGATACACCTCTTCCTTGTTCGCCGCGCGCAACAACTTCTCCACCAATGCCTTGGTATCCACCACAGCCCCCTCCTCCTTCGCCTTCAACGTAACCGAAAGCACCTCCACCTCGGACTGATGTCCATGTTCATGCTTATGCCCCTCCTTCCCATCTCCATGGCTATGTCCATGCCCATCCACCCCATCCACCCCCTCCTCCCCGAACAATGCCCCATCAATCCCCAACAACACATCCTTATCCACCCGACCCTTCTCACTCTTCACCCACGGTGTCTCAACCTCCAAATCACCCACCCGGTCCAAACAAATCTCAAACTTCATCTCCCCCGCCGCCTCCCACTTATTAAACACAATCAGATCCGTATACCGCGCCTGCAGCTTCGCCGTATAGCTCGTATCCTCATACCCCTCCCAATTCTCCACATCAATCACGCTAATCACTCCATCCAAACTGAATGTGCCCGGGTGTTCGCGCGCAAGCCGATTGACTTCCATTGCTAGAGTCGCGGGGAACGCGGACCCGGATGTCTCGATCACGATGCGGTCGGGCTTCACTTCGTCGAGGAGTTGGAAGAGCGCGTCGCTGAGCTGACCGACGAGGTTGCAGCAGATGCAGCCGTTGAGGAGTTCGCGAACGCCGCTGATTGAGGAGGTGGATGCGAGCTGGGAGTCGATTGCTACATCGCCGAACTCGTTCTTGAGAAGTGCGAGGCGGTAGGTTGGGGGGAGTTGCGGGATGAGGTTTAGAAGGAGGGTCGTTTTGCCGCTGCCCAGGAAGCCGGTTAGGATTGTTATCGGGATGGGGGCCATTTTGTTTTGTGTTTTCGGTATATATGAGGGTTGTGATGGTGGGTAGGGTAAGTCTAAGTCTAAGTCTATAAATAATATGTAAGGGAAAAGAAAGACGAAAAGATTGATGTGGAGGTAGTGGGATTGAATGTTGAAGTTGAAGCCGGAGTAAAGATTCGGAGGGGGGTGGAGGGGCACGCTAGGACGAATCGGGTAATATATAAGATCTGGCGTGGGGTTTTGTAGATGCCTCAGACATCCACGTGGGAGTCTCGTTGTAGATCTACTATCTTCATTGCGTTTATGTCCATGACAACATATACAGTCCTTCAATATATTATGAGGTTAATGGTATAACCTAGAAACTACGTCATATGACTGGACAAAAACTCCATGTTCATCCTGGACGTTTCCCAGAAGAGTTCCACCACTCTCTTGACATAAAATATGTGCCGCTTCGAGAGAATCTACGATGCTGTAGAGCCCGTTGAAGAATACCGTCCAGGAGGATATCACCCCGTGCATCTCCACGATGTGTTCCAGCAGAGATACAAAATCATTGGGAAGTTAGCATATGGCCAATACTCGACGGTATGGCTTGCAAAGGACCAACTAAAGTGAGCTACTTTACTGCAAAACGCATATGCTGATGTTGTTCTAGAAATCTGTTGCTAACATCTAAACAGAAATTCACAGCAGGTTGTACTGAAAATACTAAAGGCAGAAACATCCCAAGACAACAATAAGGAGCTGTCAGTCCTCCTTGCCCTCTCAGATTTCAATGAAAATCATCCCGGAAAGGAACATGTAGTTCAACTACTCGATCAATTTTACACCAAAGGACCGAACGGAACTCACTTGTGTCTTGTTTTCCCTGCGACGTTATCTGACGGGGCAGCAATGACGGTCAGTGGAAGTCCGCGTGAAGTCGGCTATATACGGGTTGTTTGTCGTCAGCTTTTGCTGGGACTTGACTTTTTACATCAGTTAGGTATTGTACACTGTGGTATGTCAATATATCAGGTTATGTATGCAGATTTCTGAATGAGCTTAATGCAGATCTTCAACCGGCAAATATCCTGTTCTCAGTGGCTGGGGGCACAGACAGGGAGGCGTTATTACAACCTCCTGAGTTCAGTCCCATCAAGTGGTTGGAAGGAGTTACTGTAGATGACAGCGCTCCTGAGTATTTGATGCCTAGCCAAAGGCGAAGAGGCCAGTTGAGTGATGCGCATTTCTCAACACTGGAGATTAGGATTGGGGATCTGGGTGGAGGTAAGACACACATGTCTGTATCGAATCTTGTCCGGATAGCTTCACTGAGGCTTAACTTAGCTCAATATGTTCAACACTGTCATGAAAAACCAGTGACACCTTTGGGCTTGCGCGCACCTGAGCTGATTAGACATACCCGGGATACTTCAATTGATACTACGCTGGATATCTGGGCATTGGGATGTTTGGTATGTCAACACCAATCCCTTTCTTGAAATATACGTTCCTTCTGATATCAGTAAAGATATTCGAACTAGCAACGAATGAGCCGCTGTTCCCTTTGGACACGTTCGGCATCACACGAGAGGAGATAGACAATGACCACGGTATTCTTATTGAGAAACGACTCGGTTCGAACAACCAGTACGGGGACTTTGTAGATTACCTACGCGAACGATTACCCGAGAACTTTGGTGCTGAGAATGCGGAGAGCCTCGCATCATTCCTTCTCTATATGTTGCAGATAGACCCTCGCGAACGTTTATCTGCAAAAGAGCTACTTCGGACTCCTTTCATGTTGGATAGATATTGAAGGATCTTCTGTTATTGCGTGTATTTGCCGTATTAACGGTATTATGAAGGTTTAGTTTCCGTGAGAAAGCTTCAACATATAAACCAGTGGTCATTCTCATTCAATTAGTGACACTGTTATTTAGTTATTATATAAGTATTGTTTTCAGTGGAATCTGAGGCTCTATTTTCATTATTAAGATGAATTTAAATCACTTGCCAGGGAATATATTCCAAAAACTGATGCGTTGATCTCATCGCAGTCAAAAGTATAAAACACAGTAGCTGTAATACTTACACACTCCTAGCCTACCACACGGCCCTACTATTATCAAACCACCAAACAAGAAAAACGACACACATCCTTCGAAACGCGCTATCCTTTAACTCCAACCACCCTATAAGGCTGAACCATTCCTACTGCCCCTAGATTAGTAGTACCCTCCCCGAGTTCCCCCAACCAAGGCCGCCCGCCAGCGCCAACCTGCCACACCCGAAAGCCCCGAGGATCCACAAGGCTGACAACGATGATATCATGATCCACCCGAACTAACTTGATGTCATCGGCCACATAAGATAAACTACTTAACTAAACCCTCCAATCAGTCATTCATTCCAGCAAGATAATACCACTTTTACTAAACATATAATCTCTCTTTCCATATATTTATCTTCTTTATAGGAAATCTCCTTTTTCTACATAATAATATATATATATACTCATAGTATCATCACAATGAAAACCATCGACGACACCGCCCGCGAAACCGCCCAAGAAATGGGCTACAAAGAGCCCGCGTCCACGACCGATAGCTCGAACGGGAACTCGATGATGACCCCCCAGAACTCACTTAATGATATGGCGCAATCGGGTGTCAAGGAGATGAAGAACATGTTTGATGGGGTGGCGTCGGCGCCGGCGCCGGGGGATTTCTTGAATAGTACGTGGGAACATGTAAGGTCGTTGATGGGTGGGGGTGGTGGTGAGGAGGATAATGGGAATGGGGAGGGTATGTGCTCCGTGTTTTATTTTATTTATGTATATGTTTGGTTACTGTTATGCTGATTGAATATCTTGGCTGGGTGTAGATGGTGTCGTTGAGCCGGCGGATGCGGATGAGATTCGGTGTATTGAGAATTTGGAGAGGGAGAAGATCATTCAGTTTTTGCAGGAGAGGCATATGAGTATGAACAATATGGGGAGGGGGAAGAAGGTATAACTAGGGAGTGCTAGATTCGGGTCGGATGGATAAAATAATATGTGATGTTGGGACATTCATGCTTACGTGAAGCTTGCTTCTGATCAAAGTGAACTTTGTAGCTGTCAAAGCAGTAGTCTTACGCTCACAAACAAGCCCTAAACCCCTTGTCCGACTTGATATCCAGTCCCAAGAATTCCGCAACCTGTCCTAGATGATCCACTCCCCAGAATGTGTCAGTTTCACCCTTGTTATTGGTGCACTCAAACCAGGGGATGCCAAATGCGCCTGATTTGAACGCTCGATCCGTGTTCGCTATCAAGGCTGCCTTGATGTCTCCATGCTCCATCTAAGTACCGAGTTAGCAAACACACTCAACATAAGATTGTGCAACACAGGTCGCATACATCGGCCAACACCGACTGTGCCACGTCCTTTCCGAGTACCCCTTCAAGAACCGGACCAAAGCATTCAGGCTGCGCAATGTTCGCATTACCCTCTACCCAGAACAAGTGATAGAGCGCCTCGAAGGCTGGCACAAGCTTGTCCGGGTGCTTCTGGGAAATCGCACAGAGCGCACGCTGGGTGCTCAGCGTCCGTGGCGGGAAGCCTTCGGGAACTGTCTGGACAATTGGGACGTTGAAATAGCGAGACCAGCGGTAACGCTCTTTTTCACTCCATTTATCCTTATCTAATTACATTGCTTAGAAGTTGTTATGGACATGCTTCAGTTGTTGAAGGGATACGCACTCTTGATCTTCATAGGAGCAGTATTCCCGCATGCTTGCATGATACCACCCAGGAAAATAGGAATATACGTGATGTTGCATTTGGCAAAAACGGGAGAGTTCTTCTAGACGTTAGAATATTGCGGTGATGACTTGAGCTATAGTAAGTAGATGGATATGCGCACCTTTAGAACACTGAAGGCGATATAGCCGAATGGACTGACTACGTCCAAGTAGACGTTTATATGCGGCACAGCCATGGTTTCGAAACCGATGAAGATGATGAAAGAAAGCTAAATGTGATGTGATCCAAAAACCAAAGATGAAGGTATCACGCAGAGTGTCTAGTTTGTCTAGTTAAGGCCGTAGACCCCCTGTTCTGGATGAGTCAGCATCGCGAGCCGAGGTGTTCGGATGTTCATCTGGTGATTTCTAATCGCTGATTCCCCTCACTCTACTAAGTATACCCGGTTGGAGAAGATCAATGATGCACTTTTGTATATGCTTGAAGCTGGGGCACTGATGCCATGCCTTGCTCAGATATGGCCATACGTGCCTTCCTTGACAGCTCTCCTCCTGGAGGGCAGTCGCGATGCGGCCACCTGTAGTTAGGATGTTTCGGCAGATCATCCAGCTCGTAGCATTGACTCTCTGTATCTGGCTACATAGTGCTTGCTTGCATACTTACAAGATAGATGGCTATGTACAACATGCTTAGCGTCGAATCATTCCTCAGCAGGGATCGACATAAAGATGAAGGAAACGCCTTTCTAGTACCCTTCTCAAACCATGACATCTCAGAAGAATCTGCCTATGAGTTTGATGCACCTGACGCAGAGTATATCCATGACTCAGTGACTGAAAAGCGCCGCCATGCCGTATACTATCACCGGCCTCCCGTCTGGTGCCCTTCACGGCAGTCAAGAACATCGAGTTTCTCTGGAAGCACCAGCAGCTGGGGTACAAAGGAAACGTGCAGTGATCAAGCAGCTGATGATAGTGAGATGCCGGAAGATGCCTATTCCTGCATCGCTGATGGCTGTGACGCTACCGCTGCATTAACAGATGGGTTATCTGGCACAGAAATCAACCAGTCGCAGTCTGATCAGGAGACCATTATCCTTGTGAGTGTCTGGTAGCTACCAAGTAACCGTGAGTGTATAGGCTAACTGTATCAAGCATGACTGGCCCGCTCGTGACAGGCCACAGACATGGCAACAATTGGGTACCGTGAGGAAATACACTCTGTCAGATTGGCGAACCTCCGTGAAACCTTATCCGAGCCGGGTGCTATTGCAGAGCTCCGTCTGTCACAAAGGGAAAGGCAGTCCTGCACGATTGCAAGCATACAAGGACATACGTTTAGGGTTGGATGAGAAGCAGTCCATCCACGAAGGATCACTTGTGATTTGCGTTGATCCTGCATACACCTTGTCCGATCATGATAAACCGCGCTCTGATGAGTTCGATCTGGTTAGCGGGCATATATTTGTTGTCTGCCGTCTGTACTCCGACTTATGGGCTCTCTGTGCCAGTGCTTCGCCGTCTCAGCCGGAGACGGTCTCCGGTGAGACAATATCAACTGAGCCTATGCGACTAGCATTCTTGCCACTCTGCGCAGTGACGCTAGCCGCAAATTTTAGCGCATTCAATCAGAGATGCATCAATTATGCTCATGATAAGTCAGACGAGCCTAGGTATCCTGGAAATGGGCTCCCGGTTATGCCTCCTCCACGGACTTCTAGCCTCAGCGATGGCAAGCAGATCTTCCGCGGAAACAGACGCCACATCGCCTTTCCAGAGGTGGTCTACGATACTTTCCACCGCGTCCCTTTCGAACATCGCAATCCAGATTTTGTCCCAGCAGACTCTTCTCTGGAAAATGTGCTTTCTAACCTGACCGACCGAGGAAGTCGTCGACTCCAGCGCTTAGGCAACCGTATGTCAATCCGGAAGCTCTGGAGCGAATCTAAAAGACCTGCTCTGGGAGACACTGAGAATCAATTGTCCCCTTCATCTGGTTACCTTGGAGGACCGACAGAGTTGGGTGCAATACAGCATCATTCAGGCCTGCATCGGCGCGGTTCTTTGAGAAGCCAGAGGCTGAGTTTTATCCGGGCTGCCCGTTAATAGGAGACAGGATCCTTCATTGATTTGTCTGAGTCATATTTTATGAGCGCCTATTTGATCGCCCATCGCCCTTCCTATCAAGGTAATAGAAAGGTAGCAGTAGCTCGAAAATAATGTTCTTACTCTGTATTGGCCGATTAGATGCGGGGATTCCTGCAATATAAGCAAGGCGCTTTCCTGTTGCATACCGATAGTAGTTGAAATCGGCGTGAGAGCTAGTGCTCTGATCTCCTTGATCATGTGTATTATTCTGTTGGGCTCGATCTTTCTTGCAATTGCTCACTTCAGTAGCGTAACAAGTACCGAAAGTATGAATAAACGCAACAAGAAGCTTCTGGCCTTTTTTCAACTCGAGTCACCCATTATCCCCAACTATGCCATCATTCCGAGCGAATCTCTACACCACCTTCGCCCTCACAACTCTTCTCATCCGTCTTCTCGGCACCCTTATCTACTACCTCTCCCGCTTCACGCGGCCCCATGAAACATGGACCTACCGCCAAGTCATCGGCGTAAGACTCTACTCCCTAGGGTTGAACTACCTAACAGCAATTGAATACCGCGCCCCCAAAACCCTTACCCCAGGCCGTGAAGGCGACCGCTTCATAGTCATCAGCCCACCAGACACCACCACGTCCGACCAACTAGCACCCCATTACTCCCGTAGTAGCATCCTCACCAGCGTCCCATCCATTCGTCCCGTCCCTATCGGCGCAGTATGGCACCCTGCCCTCCCCTCTCCCAAACCAGCTCGAGTAATCCTTCACTTCCACGGCGGCGCGTACGTTGTCGGCGGTGTCCGCCTCAACATAAACGGCTGGAGCCCTAGTATACTCAGCGATGTGAGGAAATCTCACGTCATGCTGCCGCAGTATCGCCTCTCCATGGGAGAAAACGCCTCGTTTCCTGCTGCCCTGCAGGATGGGATCACGGCCTATGTGTATCTTCTCGAGAAGTTGAGTTGGGAGCCTCAAGATATAATACTGTCCGGTGATTCGGCGGGCGGAAATCTTGTCCTCTCCATGATTAGATATTTGGTCGAGGAGGAGGAAAAAGGGGCGAAGGCATTGCTATTGCCTGCGGCTGCGTTGTTATGGAGTCCGTGGTTGGATTTAACAGAGAATGGGGCGCGGAAGGTTGATCGGCATCCGCGTCGATGGGTTGATTATCTTTCTGGGGATTTGCTGGAGTGGGGTATCAGGCGGGTAACGCCTATGGGTTGGAAGAGGGGACATCGTTTTCTGAGTCCCCTTGGGAATGGGTTTAGGACTTTGGAAATGCCGATTTTCCTGCAGGCGGGGACGGAGGAGGTTTTCTTTGAAGATCAGATGGTGTTTGTGGAGGAGATGAGGGCGTTCGGGAATGAATGTGTTGGGATTTGAGAAGGAGGCGGAGGAGGCGATGGAGAGGGCCAGGACGTATGTGAACAAGAGAGTGAGCTGGTTTGGTTGATTTGATGTTGTAGAGATGGTATGTACATGGATTTGTGGTTTGGGTTATCCCCCGGGCTGAAACTGGCTATTGGATGCCGCTGAACGGTGATTTATGGGTATAGCGGGTTGCTCCGTTCTCATATGATCACAGATCCTAGGCTATGATTGTTGCAGCCAGCTTCTGAAGATATAGCTCCAAAATAGCCTGAGAGCCTGGGCCTTGAACTTTCAACACCCCTGCATGTGGTGAGCTAGATCCCACTTAATGTTGTATTGCTAGGCCATCAGGTGGCAGGTGCCAGAGCTGCAGCCCTACCCGACCAACCATGGTACCTTAGCTCTCTGCACCAGAGCAGTACAATCGAAGAGACAAACCCCCGAGAAGCCGGGGTTATGAAAGGGCATGATGAACAAAGCTCTGCGCTTAGTTAGCGCTGCCAGTCCCGGAAGGAGCCATGCAGCTGTGAACTGTTGCCTTTGCAGCAAATCCCAACTCTGACTATGGGGGTAATAGTACCGCCACTGGCTGTTCAATACCTATGTATTTTGGCTGAATGTCAAGCCACCCATCCCACCTGGCTATTGACTTGATGACACACTCCTTTCTCTGCCGTAACAACGCAATTCAATATCGTCGAATTGACCATGTTGCGATGGGAGCTGCTTCCGATCTAGGTGCAAATTGTGGAGCCCAGCAGACTGCATCAGGTCGAAAAAGATAGACTCGCTTTCATGTCGTCTCTTCAATGCCACCAAAATGATAGCCTCGGGCGACATTTGCACTAATCGGCTTAGTACTGAAACCAGCGCGGGCAAGCTGTCTGCATTATAGGTACAGTCTGAAACGAGAACCAGATCTATCGAACCACCGCACAAGTCACTCGGAAGTTCCTCATCCCAGTCAAGGGTGCTGAACTCGAGCACAGAGGAATCGGCCGGTTTCGCAACAGCTATGTTCTGTGTAACAATGTCCTCCACCTCGGGCAGATCAGTGAGTACTACGGAACATTGAGGGAGAAGCTCTGCAAGAGCAATCCCTACAACGCCACATCCTGATCCTAGTTCGAGAACATGGAGAGGCGAGTTGCGTTCGCCTCGAAGAAGTTCCTGCAACAACGGCACAAAGACTGCAGGGTCTCCAGTCACTATCTGCTGAAGGTATACGACCGAAGCCACCGCGGCATCCCTGATAACATGTAAGCATGGCACAAGGAAGAAGTAAGCCTCATTTGAGATGATAAAGCCTCACCAGATATGCCGAGCTATGCTGTTCCCAGTCTCTTCCCAGATCCTCAAGCCTAAGCGATCCTCGGGTCCAAAGCGTCTCTCGACAAGCTTCTCTGCTACCGAGGATGGCGACCCGCCAAAAGGTGCGCTCCAGGCTGACATGACTAGAGGAAGACTAGAATTGCCCAGCAAGCGATCTGGCGAGGGAGACCGCTTCTGCGGACTTGTGGCCGTCACGCCTAGGACGATTGTCTGCTGGGAAATATCGGCAGAAAAGGGCCCGAGCATTATTGGAAGCTCGCGCCTTCCAGCCTTCCAGCTCAATGGTTCCTGATACAAATTTTTACCAGAGTCATTGAGACTCAGTGTTACAAGCAAATCCACATCTTGTGCAAGAAATGCGTCTCCCAGGTCTGTAGTGATGCAAATTAGAGCGGAGACGGATATAGACCCGGGTTTCTGTTTCTGAAACCTCGGGGTCTTGAGAAAACGAATATAGTAAACCATGCTAAAGATGAGCAATTACTAGGCGATAACCGGGCGCCAGAAGTGAGCTTAGTATACTAGACCATGCGATTGGCGGAAGAAGCAGTGTATGGACAATACTACTTGAAAACAGCTAATTCTGGCACGGGGCACGTGCGGGCTGACTAAGGGCGGGCCGATGACATCGACCATCCAAGAGGAATGTTGCTTCCTCAGGCTCCCTCTCGGGGAATCTCCCCTCGTTATTATCTCCGCCTCTCCAATGGTGCTGTTATCGTATACCGACTCCCTTTTCTGCAGGAATATATCTTACGATTCACTCCGAGATCCCCATTCTAAGCACAGCTATCCCATGGGGATACTTGATTTCAGTCTAAAGTGAACCCATCGCTCCTGCGGCCGCGGCGTGGCTCTGGGCCAACGTCGCATCCCTACCGTCAGCCGGCATGATGCGATCGAGAGACCCTCGGGTCCGCCAGACAATCAACCAAATCCATCATAACCTCGAGTCTGCAAACGAGAGCGCCCAGGAGGGCTTATATACTTTTTCCCATAATTACGTGGTACCATGTTTTGCAGCGATTGGGACCTGTATTTACTCATGCACTGCGCCTTGTCTCCCTAGCCGCGAAGACCAGCTTCGACGCCGCCGACGCGGCCGCGCAGAGGCTAATTTCGACTTCTACGATGACTGGGATAATGAGGATCCAAACGACGGTCTGCTAGGATGGGGTACTGACGAACTGGATCGTTTACTGGCTGGAAGCGGCTTGGCCCGGGGGAGTTCCGAACAGCCTCGAAGGCAGCGGAAAATGAGCTATGGTGCTCGGCGCACCAGGCGAAAGAGCACTGCTATAATGTCTGACGACCGTAATGACCCGACTGTTATCCCGAGTTCCTCTTTCCTGGGGTTCCTAGAGCGCTTCCCATGGAGATTTGGCGCTCGAGGGCTGAAATATCGCCCGTCCGCGGCAGATCTTCAAGAACATCCCGTGGGATTGCGACGGCATGAACTTGAAGATGAGCCTCTCATAGAAGAAACAGAGGAAAGTGAAGGCCCAGCCACCTCAAGATTGAATGGGAGATATCGAAGTTCAACACAATCATCGCGTGACACGGCCAATTCCTTGAGCTCGCGGGGTGACTTGATCCCCAGCGACGAGGAAGAAGACGCAGTGCCACTAGATGATGAGTTTGCTCTAGCTCTGGCCAGTCGTCGCGGGACTGGACTCGATTCAATTGATCTAATAGGGGATAAGCCTGCAAGTATGAGGTCGGTGTCTGGGACCTTTAGTTTAAGAACAACCGCCTCTTCCAAGGAGGAGAGAAAGAAGAAGAAAAAGAGGAGCAGCCGTCTGCGGTCTCCGGAGGGGTCGTATGTAGAGGTCACTCGCCAAGCCAGTACCCCTACATTAGCCGATCTTAAAAAAGAAGAAGAGCAAGCAGCGCTTGAAGAAGAATCAGAAATTGCGCGAAGACGGCTTGCTGCACAGCAGCTGGCTTCAACACGAGGCCTACACCAAGCAAAAGACGAGGTAGGTAGCTCATATAATGATTGGTCTCATGCCAGAATAATGAAAGATGGGCTGACAAAACAACCATGTAGGCTTCACAAAGTTCACCATCTCCACAACCTCGCACACCTGTGTCGGACGCCACTCATCAAGCGCCCGCCAATATTCCTTTAGACTCAACTGTAGAACACACACTTCCTCATCAAAGTCAGGATGTACAAACTCAGCACTCGCCGAATCCGGGCTCCCCCGGAAACGACTCACAAACCGAACCATTCCCCCCATTTCCATCTACTCCGGAATTTCATGATGCTAGTCCTGCATCGCATCCGGGTCATTTCCACGACCAAAGCAATGCCTCGAATCTATCTGATCAGGAAGATACAGCAGATGCTTCAAGGGATGATGCCTCTATTGATTGATCAAAGGGCGCCAGGTTGCTATGCGTGGAGGAAGCACGGCTAATCGCTAATCCAGGTTTGCAGGCCAAACCCAACCATCTAAATTCTCAGTTCCTTCAGCGATCTCTCTCATATATGAGGACGCAGCCGTCTTATGCTTCTTATGGCGACCTCTGAACTGTACATTAACATGATGATTCACGAAACTTGAATATATTCCGTATCTGGAAGATGTGACAATTCTTACGTCTTCGTCTCACTACCACACTAGTAAACTCCTCGCCCGGTACTTTTATTTAGCTATGCCACCTAACAGCACAGCATCAATTAAAATCGATATTACCCCCACCCAGAGCATCCGCACCTCCCTGCGCCAAAGCAGTATACTCCAATCGCGCCGACAACCCACCCTGATTCTCATCTGCCCTTGGCATCTCCCCAAGGGAAGGAATACTCTCATACAGCCACGGCGGGTTCGCCAGAGACAAAATCTCCTGATCAAAGATCGCCCAAGAATAATCCTCTTCCGGAGCGAGGAATGCAAAATCGGGTCCCATTTCTGGCGGTGTATGCATGCTCTGTAGGCCCGACTCGAGTCGATCAGCCAATATGCTATGAATGCTTGGCACAGATGAATGGTTCCTCTTCAGACTGTCGATGTGCTTTTCAATTAGCTGCAGGTCTGTACAGATGGAGGTCAGCAATGGATGTGGTTCACGATGCGATGAGTTAAGTATCACTCTTACCGTCTTGGTGTAGTACGCCGTCTTCGATCCCTCGGAGTAGTAGCATGGCTGCGAATGTTACCATCTAAGGAAGTCAGCTGTGGTGGGTATTAGAGTATGGTGGTTTACTAGAAGACTTACTATCAGATCCCAGTTGGACCATATACTAGCGTCGTCTAGACGAAGCCGCAGAACTGCACGGGCTGAGACTAGTAGTTCGTGTCTTTCGGCTGGTGCGATATCCGTAGAACCTAGATCGAATCCTCTGGCTGGATGGTATATGGATAGGACGTATAGTTTGTGTAGATGGTATTGTAGGAGGATGAGTATGCCCTGGCGATCAGAAGGGGATGGCTCTGGAAGTGACATTCGCGTCAGCATACTCTCCCTTGAACCGGGCCACTAAGAGATCTCACGAGATGCAGCATTATATCGAACTAGCCAGTCGTCCAATTTCCGGGCCCAAAGGCGGATAACCCGTGCATCTTCATCGGTGAAAGGTGTCCGGATTGGCGAGAGGACCTCACGCTCTTTTGCGCTCACGAAAGACCATATGGTGGGGAGACCTCTTCCGACAAAATGACTGAGTCCGTGATGCATCATTTGGCTGAGGCCATGGAAAGCATTTTCTTCGCGGGCGTTGAATTGGGCAAGGGTGGGTAGGGGTGGTTGTTCCGGTAATAGGGGACAACACATGTGCATGGAAGCGTGCTCAATATCGATTACTTGGAGACCTGAGAACAGTCCAGCCCAGTCGTGAGTCGTGTGTTCGACTTCGCGCGGTGTGTGATCGAGTAAGAGGCGATACGCGATGGCTATCCACGTGCCAGTGGTTGGCACATAAGCTTCTGAGCCCAAGCTGGCCATAATTAGACCGAGGATGTTCTGAAAAGTCAGCGAATCGTTCTTAGTACATAAGGATTGATCAGGGTCTTCTGTGCTGTTACTAAATATCTCCCCTGGAGGAATGCATGGCACTGGATTGACAAGCTCGGCAATTGCGCAACCCTGGGCGACAAAGTATCCTTTCGTAAACTCCGATAGATCGTTGGACGGGCCATGAAGAGCGGATATGAATAGAACAGATGCAAGTAATAGGGGAGATGGTGATGCGAAAGCACTCTGATCCTTCAAGAAATGGAGGAGGGGTAGGTTGTTGAGGAATCTTCGCTGGCATTAGTCCACTCAATAAGAGAAACTGTTCATGATAGAGGAGATTGCATACGAATACCACAGATGCTTGATGACTGGACGTGACCAGAGAGCTTCATCCTGAGCAGGCCGTGTGATCTGTTTGAGGTGCCTGACGGCCTTCCAGAGGGCGCGCAGAGACATGTTCTCAGACCCTTCATCCTGATCTGGGTCAGGGCTAACTGCTGTCACGGAGCTGCTTCCTCTATTGAAACCCAGGGCACTCTCAATCCTATCCAGACGGCCAAGAATTGCATCGATGTCTTGGTTCCTTTCTGGCGTATCTTGTTGCAGTCTCACCACGTCATGAACCGCTAATGCTGCCTAGAACCATTAAGCATCATTTATGAATAATCTAGGTCAATCGAATCACTAACATTAGATCTTGGTCTGAAGACACAACTAGCCTTCGTGTGTCGGCATCGGCGGCATGGAGGAGTCCCGTCCACGACACATTTCATCTTAGCGGCTATCAGCATGTCCAGTCAGATCACACAAGATCTAGTTACCGTTTCTGACCTTTAATCTGCGGCAGTTGACTACATGGGACGATCAGCTCTGCTTCGCTCAAGCCTTCAAGAACCGATGCCACTTACCGCATGCCTTGGTCGGCTTTGGACCGAGGGTAATCGCTTTTGTTCCCCGCATGATGATGAGTGTGGCATTACTAAATGTCTAGCAGCACCTGGTGAAACCTAACTCTTCGAGGAGGTTTCTACACCCAGTGCCAATGGGCATGCCTTGTCAAAGGGGCTTAGAAGGATGTACTATAGTCGAAAGCATAAATTTGCCGGGTACCACGTGAGTCGGAGCTATTCCTCTGACTATTTTAGCCTCTGATAAGAAGTGATTGAGCTTATTGGAAAATGGAGATAACAGCGAGATCTGGTCTCATCTAGCTGATCCGAGGCCGGTCCATTCCTACTACGTATTACTCTCATGGGATTGACACAATGGCCCTCCGCATCAAGGAAACAGAGTACAGAGTACACTTCTGACCTGAGATTTCGCCCCATTGCATTTAAAACGAGGGGATACTGCAATTGCACGTTATGTTTGGATCAACCACTGCCGACTCTGTTTCCTCGTTTTTAGTCCGCCCTGCGTAGGCTGAAAAGAATCAGGGCGGGTCTGAAAACGGGAATATAGAAGTGTACCATGGTAGTAGACCTTCGCCTGCTGCGGGTTCACATTCCTGTTGATCTTGCGCTTGCTCCTTGGATAGGAGGACTGGCCATCTACCGGTCATAGTGCATAGACTGGAGATAGAGCTCGTCTGTTCTTGAGAGCGCGTGCATTGGATAGGCCACAGTGTCTAGAAATTTCCAACAACCAGAATGAGTGAAGAGTGAAGGGGTATTGTACATGTAAAAATCTATATACAGGCTCTTGTTGTGCGTGAGAACATCGTGATAATAATACATGGTTATATGGTACACATGTCTGTCGAAGCAACACCGACGATTTTACTAAGGTTTCCAAGTCAGTGAAAAGCGACAACGAAGGTATCAATCGCGTTCCTAATGTGGAACATCTGGAAGCGCGTCTAGGCGGATGCCGCGGCATCCTGCGCGTCCATAGCAGCCTGGCCATTTTCACCGGAGACTCCCATGGAAAGCTTCCTCATATCCCAGCCGTCCGATTCAATCCAATCCTTCTTTTCGCCGAGAAGGCACACGGACCGCTGCGAGCCCTGGACCAAGAAGGACTCAGCTGCTTCATTAACATCCTTAGCCGTGACATCAAGGACCTGCTCTCTCCAGCGCTGATCCATCTCATGGGTCACGCCGCTCATGAAATATCTCGCACCCTCTTCATCAACGCTCATTGGAGCATCGAGACCCTGGAAAATGCCCAGTTTCGCCTCGTTGAGCTCCCGCTCCGACCATGTTCGGTCCCTGGCGAAGACACCACTGTTCTGGAAGACCTTCAGGGTGTTAACAGGGTTGGGATCCCGATAACTAGTGAAAGCGAACATTCCCTTCACCGGACCATTCATGGCACTCGCGCCATAGGCGCCGCCTTTCTCACGGATCTCTGGGTGGAGGTAGTTATGCGTTAGAAGCTGAGAGAGGACGCTAAGTGATGCACTAGATGAGCTGGTGAAAGGGACGGTCTGCATAGCCAAGCCTGAGTAATAGACCTTATAAGGCATGTCATAGAAAGCCTTGTGGGCACCCAAGCCGAGAGCTGAAATGCTGGGCGTAGATGTCGGTGAGCGGACTTGTGGTAAGCCCGTAAGCCACTTCTGTAGCACCGACTCATTTTGCTTGGCGCTGCTCTGCTCACAGACCATCCGAATACGGAGACCAGAGGATTTAGAGATAGCAAACGACTGAATTTGGCGAAGCTTCTCAATCAATTCCGCAAGGCGCTCTGGCGAGGTCTCTGCATCTCGCAGCAGATTAGCTGTAGCTTGCAACTGGGCAAGGCCGGATTGTTGTTCTTGAACCCAGAAGCTACGTGAAAGACCTGCTGCAGCGGCATTGAGGGCATAACGATGACCTGAACCAGCCACTGCATCCAAGGCGCCGTTGGTCGTCAGTCGCAGCAGTTCCTGGATCATGGCTGGCGCACTGGGACTAGTGAAGTCGGTCTCAGTGACAAGTGTAGTCATGATCTCCAGCATCTCCGGAATGTTCTTGTCCAAGGCGAAACCGGAGAATTGAAGACCCTCGGCGAACTTTCCAAGCTGCGTCGGGGATGATATATGGAAAGATGACGTGGAGATTCCACCCGTCTTCAATTTGATGATATCCTCCCACTGCTCCATTGACTTGCTGGCTGTGCCGAGACGCATTATGCAGTCATTGAACAGCGGCATCAAGAGACGGAGATCATCTGGCAAATCTTCAAACGCGTTCAACGCTTGGAAGTAGGTTAAACCGTTGGTAGGAGCCTCGCGCCAGACGACGTCTACGCTGTCAACCTTCGACTCTCGAACAGGCTTGCGCTCTTTCTCCCGAGAAATATCAGCAACACGGAGGGAAGGAAGGCATGACAAATCTGCGTTCTGTGCCTCCTCCTGGGTCTTCAACAATTGAAGCTCTTCCTCTGTCAGCTTAGCGACCACCTTCTCCAGGGAGCCATGCTGCTCAATGAGCTGGTTGAACTTTTCCTCCTTCCGAACCATTTCTTGTTCGTCCAGCTCTTGGTTCCAATTAGGACTGCCAACCATGGTGAAGGTCAGACAATTGCCATTCATGAGATACTTCTGCATTAGGGACTCCAGGTAGCCCCCCTTCTCATATCTGCTCTTGAATTCATCAATGACCTCATTCCAGGCGAGTTCCTTCATAGGATTGGAGCCATTGAACCATGAGGAGATGGTTTTCTCCATGACACCGATACCAAAGTTGGCAGTCTTGTGTCTTAGAGCTAGTTCCAATTGGTGAAGGAAACCGCGAACCTTCTCGTCACTGAAGCCCGTGGCGAGACACTCCTGGAAGACCTGTTGAATGGCACCTTTGACTTTAGGTGCTTCTTCTGCACTCACACCGGTAACACCAGCTGAGAAAACGGGCACACGACCTGAAGCGTCAAGGCCCGTGTTAGGCGTGAATGAAGACCCCAAGCCACTTTCGATCAAAGCTCGATACAAAGGCGATCCATAACCGTCAAGGAGCAGCGAGGAAAGAATACCGGCCGAAAACGTCTCGACAACGTCAGCAGCGTCCCCCATATACCATGAAGTCGACGTTTTGTGCTGTTTGTCTTCGCTGGCGAATGTGTCGATCGGCCCCGAAACAGTCACGCTCTGAGGACCCTGAGAAAGATCGATCGGTAGCTTAACAGCGGTGTCAGCCTCTCCCTTTTGGAAGCCATCCAGCACGCCCCCGATTTGTTGGAGATGAGCGCTCAGTGGCATATCACCGTAGGTGAAAATCTTGGCATTGCTGGGGTGGTAGTTGCGCTTCGAAAATTCGACCAATTGTTCGTGGGTCAAATCGGTGATGTACTGAGGGTCTCCTCCAGAGTTGTTGAGCGCGGGAATGATATTCTCCTTGTATTTGATGTAGTAGAGGTAATTGGCGTCCGAAATTTGGCCCTTCATCTCGTTGTAGACGACACCTTTGAAGAGGATATCCTCTGGCTTCTGCTCCGCCTGAGATTGTTCTCCGCGGGCCAATATGGCGCGAGGATCTTCCGGACCTAGCCGCCATCCTTCCTGCCTAAAATCTTCTTCCTTCAACAACGGATGGAAAGTGGCGTCAAGATAGACCGAGAGGAGATTCTGGAAGTCTTGCGGGTTTGTCGTGGCGAAAGGGTAGGTAGTATGGTCAGCGGAGGTGAAGGCGTTCATGAAGTTTGAGAGAGACCGAGGTAGCATCTTGAAAAAGGGGTCGCGGATGGGATATCTAGGTAGAAAGTTCCTGGTTAGTCCTCGGGCCCAGTATGTCACGCATTCTACGTATGTTAAGGAACACTCACTTTTCACTTCCGCAAAGTGTAGTATGTTCCAAGATATGCGGCACGCCAGTAGCATCTGGAGGATTCGTCTTGAACCCGATACCGAAGACATTGTTCTTGTCTTCTCTAGCCACATGGATGTAGTCGGCATCGGTTTTGTCGTGCTTCAAGCGGATTGCTGTAAGGTGCAGTTCTGGAACGTGCTTCTTCTCCTGAACAGTAAACCCATGGATCCCCTCACCGATCTCCGGAAAGTTCTCAAGGCTTGTGACAGTCGAAGCAGATCTTCTTATCTGGCTCCAGCGGAGTAGAGGGCTATCCGATCTCAGTAAACGTCCGGGTTTCTGCAAGGCCGGAGCCGACCTCCGGCCTGCCCTTAACGATGAACGCAACATAGCGTTACTATGAAGATGGTAGCCAAGCCTAGAAACAGCAAAAGACTGACGGTCACCGGCTTGACTCTCACGGCGTGACGTACTTTAGCGAGTCCGCTGCCGGGGATTAGGGTACCAAAGGTGGTCGGAAATGGCGGTCCCGAGCGGACCGGGGTTAAGCGCAAAAGACTAGGATACGCAACCAATTGGCCACACCGAGCACGATATCAGATAGATAAAGCGAGTGACGTGCCGTGGAAGCATTCGAGGATGGAATGCAAAAGTGGATGGAGAAGGGAGAAAAAAAGAAAGGAAGGCAAAGCGACAGATCGGGCCTGCTATTCGGAAGGCGGACCGTGAATTAGAAAGGCGCCAAGAGAAGTTTTCAAAAGAGGCTAGTGCAGGTCAAGTGCGCATCCCCCCTCTTACGACTATTCAATCCTCCCCGGCAAGATCCTCAAGCCGTCCGGCGTTCATTAGTCGACTCCGTCGCCAAACTGCCTTTTGACTCTCAAGACGCCCTGCAGGCTACTTACGCTGTGTGATTTCGGTCAGCTTGGCAGAACCGGGCTAGTAGAGGGCCTGAGGGATCCATTACCCACCGAGTTCTCCAAGTCTGGGAAAAGGCCACCCAGGTTCTCCGCTACACTGGACAGTCGAATCACTGAGTCACTGTCGATTACAACACTCCCCTGCCTATCCGCAGCTTCGTCTTCGAATCGGACTCGCTCCTAGTCGACTCGTTGCCACCGCTCCGTGGCGTGAATAGCGAATCCATTTCCCGCCAGTCCTAGCCAACCGTTCCGTCTTCGCAATTTTCGTTTTCGTGGATTAGCCACGCGACCACCGCCAACGCAATCGCTCTACGATAACTCGACTCGATCCCCATTCTAAAAGCTCGGAGCGATGTCTGCTGCAGCAATGTCGAAAAAGAACAAGGGGAAGAAGGTCGCAGACCCCAATGAGACATCCAAGCTCTTGGCTGCCAAAATATCGCAGTTGGAGCAAGATGCCGCTGGAGAAAAGGATCAGGAGGCCGAAATCGGTGCGTCTTTCTCATGAGTGCTGGAATACTTGGAGTAGTAGTTGTTTCATGAACGGGGGGCTAATGACCGTTTGCCTATAGAGCGCGAAGTCAAGAAGGCTACGAGGGACCTGAACCAACTCCTTAGCAATATCGAATCTCCGATGACACGGCTCGAGACGGTTCATAAGAAATACACCGAACTACTGGCCGATATGAAGAAGCTAGATCGCGACTACTCCAAAAGCAAGAAGCGGGCCGATCAACTGCAGAAAGATCAGGACAAGGGCAAATCCGAGTTGAACAAAACCGTTACTATGAAGGATAAATTAGAAAAGCTGTGTAGGGAGCTTACCAAGGAAAATAAGAAGGTCAAGGTAGGTTGGTCCAAGCTCTACAGCACTACTATCGCGCTACATCACGTAGGGAGATGACTAAACGAGATGGTTCATAGGATGAGAACAAGAAGCTTGAGGAGACTGAAAAGAAAGCGCGGCTTATTGTCAACGAACGCCTCGATTCTCTGCTATATGATATTCAAGACGTCATGGCCGCCAAAGGAAATCCCCGCAGTGAGAAAGCGGACATTGACCTAGACGAAGCGTGAGTTGCGGCTGTCAGCTTGATGTAGTCGGTTATTTCTGACTCTCTATCATAGTTTGCGCGCAAAGATTAAAACTATTGGCGAGAAGTTTGAAATGCGCGAATTACATTACAAGGCACTCCTTCGCAGCAAGGATGCCGAGATACAATGCCTTACCGCCAAGTACGAAGAGCAGCGCCGTACAGCCGAGAATGAAGCCGCTCGTTGTCGTGCTCTGAGCTCCCAGGTCTCTACCTTCTCGCATACCGAAGCCGAACTACGCAGTCAATTAAACATTTACGTGGAAAAGTTCAAGCAGGTATGGACCGATGTCGATGGCTTGCTCGGCCTCAGCCTCGTTTTGACCGCTGGTAATAATAATATCGCAGGTGGAGGATACGCTGAACAACAGCAACGAGCTTTTTCTTACGTTTCGCAAAGAAATGGAAGAGATGTCCAAAAAGACGAAACGGCTAGAGAAGGAAAACCACACCCTCACACGGAAGCACGATCAAACGAACCGCAACATACTCGAGATGGCGGAGGAGCGCACAAGGAATCATGAGGAGTTAGAAAAGTGGCGCAAGAAAAGCCATCATTTGGAAGCACTCTGTCGTCGCATGCAAGCCCAGGGTCGCGGGCAAGGTCTTGCTGCGGATTTGGATGGAGATGACGAGGGGACGGAGAGTGAATATGATGAGGACTATGAGGATGAGGAAGATGATGAAGGAATCAGTGACGATGACTACGAGCTTGACAGTCCGGATGGCGACATGAACGGAGACCGCAATATTCCCCAGCAACCCGAAAAGCCAGTATTCGGACCTCCTCCGCCCCCGAATTTGCTGGAAGCGCGAGCCAACGGAAATAAGGCAATGATCAATGGATGCCACTAATGCAATTTTCATCAATGTCATGTTTTCGTTGTTCATGTTTCCTTGGGCTTGTGACCAACAACGATTGCGAAGTCTTCGCCATTTGCGCTGGCAATGCCGCAATCGTCTCGGGTGTTCTTTACTTCTCTGTTCAGCTGCGTGGTAGTTGGCCTTGATGAGTTGAAAATATGCTTCCCTGAGAGCGTGCACTGACAATTGCGCAGTGTGACGCTGGTCGCTCGGGGTCTCTCCTGTCTCCGTGTGCAGATCTTGTAGCGGTTCGGCTCTTTAAAGATAGGTTGCCCTGCTCATTTAGGTTACTGTCCGCCTAGAATTGCAACATGCACCATCACAGCTGTGGAGGTTTTGCAAGTCGTGGTCCTAACTTTTGTTCGCTTTTCCAATTCGTGTACTTGTACATGCTAGATCACTAACATCTAAACGTACTTATTACGCTATCATGAAAATTATTTGCAATACCAATATCATGTCACATATACCAGCAACCATGGAAAAGATAAAGCACACTCGGTGCCTCAATCAAAGTCTACTCGGCGGACCGTTAATATAGGAACCTCCTTTCTTCAGCATATCCACAGCCTGCTGAACCATCTCCCGGACAATCACACCAGCAGGTTTGATCTCCTGAATAATGGCCGAAACATCGCCCATCAAAAACGGCACATCGACATCCTTATCATTCTTGAAGTCATGCTCAATAGGCACGATACCTTGGGCCGTCAATCTAGCAATGTCTTCGGGGCGCTTTTCCCATTCCTTAATGTATTCATTAGGAAGCATGCGCAGCGGCCTCCCAGATATGACTAGCGTCCGTTTGGTCTCTCCATACTGCGCACCAACAACAGCCTCCTTATGCAAGCGACTCGCACCACTTTCCTCCGAAGCAACAAACCTAGTTCCCACCCAGACACCTGCGGCGCCCAGCATCAATGCCGCAGCCAAACTCCGGCCATCATTGACACCACCTGCAGCAACAACCAACGCGGGCTGTCCCGTCAACGGGCTCTTATACTGCTTCGCCACATCCACCACCGCCGGTACGAGCACTGAAAACGGAATATCGCCCGTATGGCCACCTCCCTCACCTCCTTGCGCACAAACAATATCCACGCCCAGCTTGAACGCCTTTTCAGCGTGCTTGGGTGCCCCGACCATGTTCATGATCAGGATGCCTGCGTCATGGAGCCGCTTAATGACGTGCTCCGGCGGCACACCAACTGCACAGACGAACAGCTTGGCTCCGTGCGAGATAACCACATCGATGAGCTGGTCCAGCTGCCCGTGGGTGTAGTCATGGTTTGTGGCCCGTGCTCCTCCGCCGACCTGCGGCAAGGCCAAATCAACGCCAAATGGTAGCGAAGGGTCTTTGAGAAGTGATTTTAGTTCGGTTAGGATCTCGGAGAGTTGTTCGGGGGTATAGCCTAGCCCGCCGACTGTTCCTAGGCCGCCTGCGTTGGAGACTGCGGCGGCAAGAGGTGCTCCGGACGCACGAGCCATGCCTGCCAGCAGGACTGGGTGCTGAATCTTCAGCAATGAGCAAAGGGGGGTCTGGAGAGACATGGTTTCCGGAGCGAGAAGAAGGGACTGTATAGTGGTAGTTTGATGGAGCTATCGCATAGAAAATTAACCGTCTAGCAATTGAGCAATGGGATGCGGTCAGCAACATACTCTCTGGCTGATAGACGGACAAGCCTACCTAATGGACTGTAAAGTGGGTTGATTTCAGATATAATATTTCCTCTTTAACCTGAAATCGTAGCATTATGGACAAATCCATTGCTGGAGAATTCCTTCCCTTAGCATAAGTATCCTAGTGCAGAGCATATGATCCGCGGTGAAAGCAGGGAGACTGGCTTGTGCCTGAGGAGCTCAAATGCGGGGAAGCGGAGCTCCAAGGCGTTAGACCCGGCCGGACCGAGGCATTGGCCTCTGCTCGCTCTTGCCACTCGGGCCACATTGTGCATCTTCCTGTCTTCAACTTGGCGCTAACCCCAGTGATAATGGCTGATCATAAGAACTGAGTTCCTGAATTATGCGGGGTTGTGTCGTGTGCATATTTTCGAGCTAGCACAAGTAAGTTGCTGCTATAGCCACTAAGGGGCGTTGTGTTGGTGGCCGTGGTTTGTTTACGCTCTTCATTTGATAGACACTATTAACAGATGTTGTAAATTTTGGACTTGGGCTCAAAGCTCTATAACTACTACAGAAATCGCTAATGAAAGACACATAAATCACATGCCTGCAATGAGCAAATGATGTTATTGGGAATCAGAATAAAGCAGACCAAAGACCCTAATCTGACACAGCAAGTATGGTCACAGATGCAGTATACCCAGCAGAATTGAAAGCAAGAAGCCGCCTGAAGTTAAGATCATACCCTTATTTGCCGTCGCAGCTTGTGTTGCTTCCATGATCACCTGTGTTCCAGTCACCGTCCCCGACATGATCGCAATGTTCTTCCTTGGCCTATCAAGAGATCTATCAGCTATACAACTCTTTGCCAAGTGCACCACACGAGCCGCTTACTCGTTTGTGCCATTACTTCCATCTTTCGATGATCCTTGTTTGATTTCTGTCGGTATACTCGTACCGGTTACTGCCGTTGCCGCCGTTTCTTCATTTGATGGTGCGGAAGTTGTTAAGACCCGGTAGGGATAGGTGACAGCAGGACCTGGGGGTGGCTGATAGTAGCCTACCGCGCCTTGAGGCGCTGTTGCAAGAGATCCTGGAAGGCTCCTTCGGAACAGGTTCGAGTGCAGGCCGCGTAAAAACGCGTCGAGATACGCTGAGGTGAGGATGGTCGCTATCAAACCGGCAAGTAGAAATCTGCGCAGCAGGTGGCCGAAAGGAAGTAGGACTCGCATTGTGACAAAAGGTCACTATCCGAGTACGAGAATTATCTGCAGTTAGCTGTCTTGAATATGGTTTGACAGTATGGGCAAAGAAACGCTGCCAAACCGGGAAACCAAGCCCATACATATTGCACTGGACCAAAGCGTCAACATGGATGGGGCGCATTCTCATCCATTCGGCATGCCACACACAATGCCACATCCCTCGCTGACAATTTTCATCTTCCGGTATCCCGATGATGTTTTGAGTCATTCGGCTTTAGTCGGATTGAAGGACACTGCTGCCACGGAGTAAACTTCCGGGAATCCATTCTGTAGAATGAAGGAAGGAATGCTAGAGCGCTTTAACCAAGGGATGGCGCGCTGGCGAAAAATGGACCAGACCATCCATCTTTCGAGTTTCAGGTTTAGCATACCATTCTTGGCGCAAGAATTGTCCGCGATAATGAAAGCAAAACGTAAGTCTTCCTGTCTCGTGCAAAGACCTTCTTATCAGCCAAGACAGAAATCCTCAACAGGCCGGTAGTGTCGAAGCAAACCGTCCAAGACCTGCTCGTTTCCTAGCTTATGGAAGGTGAGTTCTGTATAATCCGGATGAAGGCGACTGTTTGGATATTCCTATCTCTGTTACGTTCTCCAGACAGGGTCGATTAGTGTGTTCTTCCATAGCGGAGACCGGAAGGCGCAGATCAGGATACAGAAGGTTCACTGGAGTCGCAATTCCCGTCGATTCTCGTTACAGCTACCAATTTATTGATGCCTTAATCTCACCGTATAAGGAGTCAGTTAGACTCGCAGTCATTCTTCATATAATGGTATTAAACCCAGTTCAGTTGAACATTTGTAGCTTGCTGAACAAAGGCCTGAACAACTGCCATTGCAGGTTCAAAGATATTGGATGATGCGGTAGTTCTATAAAACTAGACCACAATTAACGTTATTATAATAAGGCACCATTGAACCATAATAATAACTGCTTTCGATCTCAGTGAGTTGTGAAGGGCTTTGGCAAGTTGCTTGCTCTCCAGCGGTGGAGAACCCCAAAGCGGTACTGTAATTACGCAACGCCAAAAGACGCGTGATCGCGTAGGCGGAAGAAGCACAGGACAAAAGCTCCCAGCACCACCAACTGCATCTAACAACATCACTCGATTACGTTGTCGCTGTCGCTCATATGAGCTTACACTTAATATAAATATTCAAGTGTAATTAGATAAATGAAGGCCAGAATGGCAAGCAGCGACGAGTTCCTGCGCCCTCCCAGGTCCGTTCTCCCGCATGTTAATCTTCTCGATTGTTGAGTTTATCAAAAATGAAGTCTAACTGTCCATGCCGCACCTTTAGCAATGAAGAATTTGACGCAATCACTCGTGTACCCTCGCATTATAACTCTCTAGATACATTTCGACTGGGAAGCGGCCAGGATCGGCATTACCAGCAGCAATATGGCGACATGTACTTCTTGCGACTGGCGAAACTCAAGCCCGCGGTTGAAGAGATTGCGGTCGAAGCATGGGAAGGTTTCAGTGTAAGACTGATCGCATCCATCGCATATCGAGATCTTGATTGAGAGATTCAACAGTATGCACATGGGAAACTGGTTTGCTGACATGTCTTGCTTTCGTGACTAGATCGCTGGAGAAAATGCGCGCCGCGTGGAAAGAGTCCTCGACGTGAGGCAGGGAGAACTATGCTGGGTCGCAGGAACGATATATATGGATATGCCATTGAAGCCAAATATTTTGGACGATCTTACGAAAGAGGTGATATACCATACTGCCATGTTGCGTACGGCTCACATTCTAATTCCGGTAATAGAACTATACGTTAGCACCACCCCCGCGGCCGACCTACCAAGATCCTGCTCATCCGGAGTTGACACAAATTATGTTGGAAGATGAGTCCGGCCGACTGCGCCTGACTGGAAGCATGCTCCGGAATACGCAGCTATGTACAGGAGCTATCATTGCAGTCCTGGGAACTGAGAACGCCAACGGAGACTTCGAGGTTATAGATACCAAAGTGCCTGATTTACCGCAACAGCCCCGCAGATGGGGAAATGATACACTGGACGCACCAAAGGGAGCCAGCAAGGGTAAGATTGCATTTGTGAGTGGTCTAGGGATTACCGGAACTTCGAGCGATACTCTTGCTTTGGAACTTCTGGCAGATTATTTGCTTGGTTATACCGGTGGTGTTTCTGAAGGAGCACTACCTGATGCTTCTGCAATCACAAGGTTGATTATTGCGGGAAATTCGGTCGGAGCAAGTATGACTACGGACGTCAACGCCGATAGTTCTACAAAGAGGACCGGTCCGAAGAAGTACGGATATGATGCTTCTGCTTATAATGCATCGCCTATTACACGGCTTGATTCTTTCCTAGCGGAGATCCTGCCTAGTATGCCCGTTACACTAATGCCAGGCGAATCTGACCCGGCAAATTTCTCTCTCCCTCAACAGGGAATCCACCGTGCGATGTTCCCGCAGGCTAGGGCATACTGTGCTCCGCCTCCTGCTGGTGATAACAAGCAAGAGCCAAGTTGGTTCGACAGTGTAACGAACCCGTGGGAAGGGGACGTGGAGGGCTGGCGCCTATGGGGTAGCAGTGGGCAGAACGTGGATGACATCCTCCGGTATCTGAACTTCGCCGATGAGGAAGGAAATGTGGCCGATGGTGCTGGAGATATAGAGGCGAGGATGAGAGTTATGGAGGCTATGCTGCGCTGGAGATGTGGAGTTCCCACTGCGCCCGATACTCTATGTAAGCTCCTATTTGGCCCCTTAATCCTACTGGTGCAAATGCTGATTTCCGGGAACAGGGTCCTATCCATTTCAAACGCACGATCCATTCGTTATACAAACTTGCCCACACATCTTCTTTGCCGGCAACCAGCCACAATTCAAGACAGCTGTGATTGAGGGTGATGCCCCACTGAAGCTGAACGGAGCCGACACAGAGATGACAGGCACAGATGACGATAACACATCTGGCCCTCGTGTGCGCCTTCTATCTATACCCAAATTCAAGGAAACCGGAGAATTGGTTTTGGTCGATACCGAGACCCTGGAGGTGGAGGTGGTGAAGTTTAGTACATTTGCTGGACAACAAGAGCAACAATGAGCGGCTGATACCAATAGCATATATTAATGAGATATAAGTCTTATGAGCTACTGCTTTGTTATTTCTTCCTTTTCTTATGATTTTATTACCACCGTTATGCTGGCTAAACCGGAATTCAGGGCTATCTGAGATTATTGCCTAAACGCGGGCGGTGCCAAGATCCGCGCGGAAAAGTCCCGACTCTTCAATTCAATCTTCTACTACCAAGTATCGGGATCTGGAGAACCAGCTACCTCAATAATATATATTGACGTACACTTAAACGCACTCATCAGGCTACGGTCAACTGGTGGGCCAGGTATTTCGACATGCTCCTCAACGCCAAGACAGGTATATCGGAGCATTGATTGCATGCGCCACCACACAAGCAGGCTAATTAAATCCCCTCTATAGCCATTTCCACGTCCACGGTGCTTTTAGTTCCGTACTCCAAATGGCACGTTCCAAGATACCACGAATGGATGAAAGACGAGGTAAATATGTAATCCTTTTAGACAGCCAAACCCCAACCGTAAATTTTCGAATATTGTACCTACAATTACTGACCTGCCATATCAGGAAATCCAAGAAGCAACCGCATCCGAGCCCCTCTCTATAGAGGAAGAATACGCCATGCAACAAAGCTGGCGCCAAGACCCAGACAAGTTGACATTCATTGTCTGTCTCCCGTCATCATTACAAGGAGAAAGCTCAACACCCACCATTAAAGACACAGACGACGCCTCGGACCGAATGGTCGGAGACATCAACCTTTTCCTCCGTGTCGACGACGGCGAAGAAGGCGATGCGGAGCCCCAAATCATCGGGGAAATCGAACTAATGATAGCCGAGAAGAATAACCAGCGCAAAGGCTTCGGAAAAGCCGCGCTGAACACCTTCCTACGGTATATCGTTGACCATGAAGCGGAGATCTTGAATGAGTTTGTTAGCAGGGATGAGACTGCCGCGACGGCAATGAAGGGGGTTGAGGCGGTGCCTAAATTTGCCTGTTTGAGTGTGAAGATTGGTCAGGCTAATGAGCGGAGTTTGGCGCTGTTTGAGGGTGCTATGTTCAAGAAGGTTACTGAGGAGCCAAATTATTTTGGGGAGTTTGAGTTGAGGAGGGAGAGGGAGGCGCTGGGTCGGGATATGGTTGATGTGAGCTTGGAGAGGGCTGGGGTGTCGGGGTATGTTGAGGTGGGTTATGAGAGAGTTGAGTGATTATTGGCTACTAGTGAGTGGTACTGTTTTGGATGTTGTTATAGATAGGTTGCTTCTGTTTGATAGAATACTGCATATAGTTCTTAGATCAGACTATCCAACTATGACATCAGAGGGCAGGGGCCGTCTGACTGGGTTGTAGATCCGTTTGAACATACATCTTAAACTAAATCTCCATGCTCTTGGTATGGTTGCATGTATGTATGCTGTCATAGCAATCGGTGAGGGCCTCACAGCATGGTCCGCATGTTACACGATAGCTTACAGCATGCATAGCAACGTCAGCAACGCATACAATCCGCCCAATACTACCTACGAACTACAACCTAAAGAGTGGACAGCATTCAACCAAGGTTTGTTATGCCCGTCCAGACAACAAAGCCTAACCAGAGCACAAAGCATTCATATCACATTATCGGGCGAAAGTCGAGGTATCATGGAATTTTCAACTGTTTTTCTCCATTACGTTGTATAGGATGTAAAGGTGCTCCGACAAAGCAAAAACCCTTAGCAGAAAAGTTCCAGTCATGTAGGTCATCCGGCTTCAGTGAACCGTGAAGACATCCATCACAGTCCACTGGTAACCAGACGCGAAGAGGCAACCAATCTGGTTCAGAGATCAATCACCCCTCCGTGTCGGCCCACAGAAGCAATCCTTGTCCATGCCAATTTCCTAATCGTAATCGACATTTGTATTCATGCTCCGACCATATTCCATGCGCCGACGACCTCCTCGCCTAGTCCCAATCTCAATGTGTTGATGAAGGTATTTACAGAGCCTTCTTCTTGTCTCCCTTGGAGACGTCGACAACCTTGAGAGCTGTAGGAGAAGACAATTGATGTTAGTACTTGATCCATATGATGTCATGCAATATCCGAGGTCCACATCAGACATCCATCTCGAGTCGTAGGAAACAAACGAATCCGACGACATGTATCTTATTCCAATAACACCATCCAAAGAAATAGTCGATCAGGTGACGGGAGCAAACGCACCAGGGGGCAGGCTCTGCTTGAGCTTGTCGGCCTTGTCGGAGTCCTTCAGGACAAGGGTGTAGACGAAGCGGGAGCAGCGGACCTTGAACTTGATCTGCTGGTCCTTGGGGTTGCGCTTGATGCGAGCAGCTGTTCAACAGACAAGACCATCACGCGTTAGCCTCGACTTCATATCATGCATCCATCCCAATGAACCATTCCAATGTGCCCTTTCGATGATGGTCGGGTACCCGTCTCGAGCTTCCCCCCTCCTCAAAGAGCTAGCTCCGCGGAGCTTTCCACCTCATGATAACTAAGCGGCTAAAGGTCGGGTAAACGTACAGGACGCATCCTTGCGGCGGCAGACCTCGATGAACTGCTTGATGTCGGAGATTTCCTGAGGCATGGTGGCTAGTGGGGTTTGTGACTTTGGTTTGAGTAGTCGTGGATGACGGAAGGTTTGGATGACAATCGCGGGTCTCGAAGCTCGTCGGCGGGCGGTGCTGGCCGGGGGGGAGTAGTCAGCTAGCTTCTGTGGGCTGTAGGGTTGCCCCCCGGAAGCCCTTAGTTCCAGTGCCACGTCGTGGCGGGATATCCCGCAATTATATATGTGGCGGTGCACCGATAAGGCGGCTGCCTACGGATTACGGGGGATCGACATCTATCTATAGTGTCTTAGCCACCCTCCGTCTTATATCTACTGGGATATCTGGCAACAAGCTTGTTGTTCTTTTTGACAGATATCATCGCCTCCTTTCGCCTTTGTGACTACTAGCAATACTTTTCTCGTGTATACACAGCAGGCGAACTCTAGTCCAGAACAAAATGCCGACGCCTTTGGATCGCGCATTAAACTCCAAGGTACTATACATCCAACCCCAGACATGATATCGGCATCCGTAAGCTAATATGGTCTCAGAACCTATTTCTAGGTATATCCTTCTGAGCTGAATATTGTTGACGGAAAGTCCGATCTAACTTTGTCAGGGTTTGCCGGCATGGTGACTGCAGCGGCCGCTTGGGCCATCTGGGGTGGCGATATGTTCCCGGCTGAAGCTGACCCAACTGGAGGCACGGGATCGAATTCTTCTGTGGTTGTAGGTATACCAAACTGACGTCTAAAAGATCCGGAAAACTGGACTGCAGATGAAATGCGGACATGGCTTCGAGTTGTATGTTTTCTTCTTCCATCGTAAAAACGGTCAATGTCGCCAAAAAGAGCAATGTTTTCTAACTGTCACTCCAAGAGGGGCCTTTTGCCCAGCGAAAGCGCATCGCGTGACGAGTTACTCGAGCGCATCAAAGCAAATATGCGTGTACCGCGAAGATCTGCGGCCCAGTGATGAGATAGCAGTCGCTTTGTTTCGGGAGTCTTCGCTTGGCGTGTCGTGGGGTATTTCCTTGGATTTCTTTCCGTTTTCCTTATGCGTCTCAAAATGTGTAATCGCGTGGTTGGATCATAGCGCATGTGTTTATCATGTCATCACACCGCAATAGCAATTCTAGTAATTTTCGTCAAAGGCATAGTAGAAGGCGTCCTCTTCCATTAAATAAACTTCGGTATTGATCCTTCATACGACGAGTCGGAAGTTCTGGGTTTGGATAAGCCATTCTCGCTTGCGCTTTCCCTTGGGCCCGTCGGCGGATGGATTCGGCACCAGCACAAAGGTCTCGCTGAAGCCTCGTTGCGGCAGATCTCTGGACTCCCCAAAGCGCACATAGCCGCTAACTACCACCAAGATAGACATGTCCTTGACAGTCGTTTCAGTGGGGAGCTTCACTCCAGTGGTTGTAGGTGTCGGATACGCCTTGTTGATGATCTGGCAATCGACAGACTGCACCTCATAATGCGTCGGGGACATTTGGTTGACGAAAATCTCTTGGACAGCGGCTCCATCTGCGACAGCGTTTCCGTTGAAAAGGATCATGGCCGTAGGCTGGCTATAGAACGAGGCTATCGTGGAACGGTTGTTCTCGAGGGCAGGGTAGAAGGACTGGACAAAGTCGGTTGCCGCTGCAGATTAATCTAAGTTAGACTTTCCAGGCAAGATGCCGCTTGTAAATCGACATACCATCCGTAGAAACCTTTGTCAATGTGTCTTCTGAAGGAGGAGCCATTGTGATTCGAGACTGTTTTTTATGGATTCCAACAACAAATCCGGTAGCCAAGCCAAGAGACTGTATATAGACCCTAATATTGCGAGCCTCAGATTCCTGAAAACCCCTGAGTTGTCCAAGAACGAGTTATAATATGGTGGTTGAATAGAGGGAACGAGGTAGATGCTATGTAAAGAATGCGCGATCGCGGAGAAGAGAAGCAGGCATCGGACGGCAGAAAAAAGGCACGGAAGCTTGGACCACCCGGAGGTGATGATCGAGCTCCGACGAAAACGCCGCCTGGAATAAACCATCGTTGTTCCCTTCTTCAGTCCCACGCCAATGGCTATCTCGAGGGCAGGTTTTCGTGCCGCTTCTTGGGCCGGCCAATTTCTGGCCTACAGTCGCCCATCTTGGAGATGCGTTCCCCGCACAACTACCCGCCCAGTGACAACGATCCGTCCGCGTCAATTCGCAACGGCGGCCTCGGAAAGCGCTTCTAAGAAGCCGTACTATGTCACGACTCCCATTTTCTATGTCAACGCCGGTATGAACATTTCGGATATTTTACTGTGCTTTTTTGTTCACTGCTAATGACTTGGCCTATGTAGCCCCTCATGTCGGTCATCTGTATACTATGGTCCTTGCCGATGTCATCAAGAGATGGCGGACACTCATCGGAGACGCTGATGCACAATTGCTGACCGGAACGGACGAACATGGCATGAAGGTAGGGGCCAGTTGTTACTGTTTAGCGCAGTATTGTGCTAATTCTGTATAGATCCAGCAGGCCGCGTTGGCTGCAGAGATGGATACGCAGGCGTTCTGCGACATGAACTATAAGACGTTTGAGGTAGGCAACATTTACTACGTTGTCAGCTTTTGATCTGAGATCGGCTCTAACCTTTAAGTTTAGGCTTTAGCAAATGCCGCGAATATGGACTACAACTACTTCATACGGACGACCGAACCTGCGCACAAGGAAGCTGTTCAGTATTTTTGGGTATGTGGTTAGGAGATGTGTCCACGCGCATAGCTTGATGCTGACATGTGTATAGGAAGTGTTGGAGCACCGGGGATATGTCTACACCGCGAAGCATGAAGGCTGGTACTCGGTTAGCGATGAGACATTTTACCCTCAGACGCAAGTACAAAAGTCGCTGGACCCTGAGACTGGACACACGAAGATGGTAAGCTGCACGCCAAACCACCTGCCAAAACGATCGAAGCTCACCCAGACAGGTCTCCATTGAGACAGGAAAGGAGGTGGAGTGGTCGTCGGAAACCAACTACCATTTCCGTCTGTCAGCTTTCCAGGAGCGTTTGCTCGATCTATACAAAACTGGATTTATTACCCCGACGATGTATACAACCAATGTCGTCAAGTCTGTTTCGGAGGGCCTTCAAGATTTGTCAATCTCTAGGCCTGCGGAGCGGCTGACCTGGGGTATTCCGGTTCCCGGCGACAACACACAGACCGTCTATGTCTGGCTAGATGCGCTTGTCAACTACTTGACCAAGGCAGGCTACCCGTTTGCACCCGGTCAAGGAAGCCGCCTTGGTTGGCCTGCGGATGTACATGTGGTCGGTAAGGACATTGTTCGGTGCGTATTTGCCTTCAAGCTTGCCATGTACGCGACCCCATGACTAACCGTGCAACAGCTTTCACTGCGTATACTGGCCCGCATTCCTTATGGCTCTCGACCTCCCTCTTCCCCGCAATGTACTCGTTCATGGACACTGGACTATGAACCGTGAGAAGATGTCGAAGTCTACGGGTAATGTGGTGAACCCCTTCTTTGCCATCAACCGCTTCGGAGTGGATTCCATGCGTTTCTTCCTTATCCACCAAGGTGCATTGGTGGGCGACGCCGACTACGATAATGCGTACATCATCCGCGACTATCAGAAGCTACTGCAGAAGGGGCTTGGAAACCTTGCGCATCGGGCAATTGGCTGTGCCAAGGGTAATCTTCGGGCTTACATCGAGAACGGCACGTGCGGCCGACTTCCACCAGCGACTCCAGCCGATGAGGCGTACGAAACAATGCTCAAGGACGTGCCCAAGAGAGTAGCAGAGCAAATGGAGAATCTGAATCCCCGTGCTGCCCTGCAAGAAATCACTACCCTAATCGATCAGGTAAGAGATAAAAATAGACCCACCCTATGATCGGTGATGATTTCCAGACTTGTTCTAACCCGGTCCACCCAGACCAACAAATACTTCCATCACGCAGAGCCATGGAAGAGTCCAAACGACCGCCAGCGATCGATTTTCAATGTTGCTGAATCCCTGCGAATGGCCGGGATCCTCCTGCAGCCTGTCATGCCCACCAAGGCCAACGAGCTTCTGGACATGTTCCATGTAGACAAAACGGACCCGGCCAAAAGGAACTATGCGGCGGCGACGTACGGCTCCGACGCAGACTACGGAGTGGATGCGAAGAAGAGTATTCTATTTCCCCCTCTTATCGTGGAAAGTTAATGTGGCTGTCCTTTCCATTTGATAACAGGAATGGGCTAGGATCCAATCATGGACACTAGATTGGAACGTTCGGTCAGCCAGAACACGCACAATTAAGCACGGGTCTCCGCCTGGTGGAGGAGACTGTGGAAATCGAGCGGGTTTGGCTTTGCCGTTTGCTGCTTGAATTGGACTGCGTTATGGACGGCTCTGGGTCCCAGACCGTCATTCACACGCATGCAGGGGTGGAGAGAAGGTTTGTGTTATGTCATGGTATGGCGATAACTGGAGCAGAATATGCGCGAGTTTATCAACGGGAAAAGGGTGCCGACTGGGCGAAGGGTTGGTCGAATTCCTGATAGATAGACTCGGGGCGGGAAACTCTTGTGTGTAGGTTTCCCGCGGCAAACTGGGGCGGACTATATCGGAAAGCGTCCGTGTTGTATATCACGAACTATGGGTTTCAGCGCTATATCATGGGGGGAGTATATGAGGTCTGTATCATATTCTAGGGGTTTTCTTTCTCTTTTCGATTGTAGTATACATTTATCATCTTATACCTAATCTTGTCTCCTCTCCTCTTACCTCTCTACTATTTATTGAAAACAACCTCCTCTCATCCCAACAACTGACAGATCATATCATATCTTAACTATACTACAATCTACCCTTCCTTATAACATCCCTATCATCATATTAACAATCATCGTCATCATCATCTCCACCAATTGAACACCACCACCACCACCACATCCCGAAGGGAACCCAGAAACCAACAGACCACCACAATGGGCAGCATCCTCCCTCCCACCACGCCTCCAACCTACAAAACCCCCTGGAACCCGACCCCTCTCATCGAATCCACAACCCTCTCCCGCGCCGCAGGATGTAGAATCTTCCTGAAACTCGAAAACATCCAACCCAGCGGCTCCTTCAAGTCCCGTGCCATGGGCAACCAAATCCTCTCACACCTCCTCAAGCCCGAGAACCACCACCGTCCCGTGCACTTCTACGCCTCCTCCGGCGGCAACGCCGGCCTAGCTGCCGTCTGCGCGGCCCGGAGCCTAGGATACCCCTGCACGGTAGTGGTACCTGTGTCGACGAAGCCGCTGATGGTGCAGAAGCTGCGGAATGCAGGAGCAGCGGATGTGATTCAGTACGGAGAGACATTCTCAGAGGCGGGACAGTACATGAAGGATGTTGTGATGAAGACCAAGAACACCGATGGTGAAGAAAGCGCCGATGACGTTGTGAAGATTGCCCTGCATCCGTTCGACAACGAGCCCATCTGGCAAGGGAACAGCACTATCATTGATGAACTGGTGGAGCAGATCCCGCCGCCTGTCGGGGAGGAAGAGGAGGAAGTGCATGCTGGTCGTGCGTTGCCAGTTGATGCTATTGTTTGTAGTGTTGGCGGTGGCGGGTTGTTGAATGGATTGGTTATGGGAATTGAGAGGCATAGGGCTAAGGCTAAGATGTCTTCTTCTTCTGCTGCTGCTGCTGATGATGATGGTGCTTCGAAGCCTGTTCATCTTGTGGCTGTTGAGACCAAGGGCACGGATTCTCTGGCTACGGCGCTGGAGAGTAACGAGTTGGTCTCGTTGCCGAAGATCACGTCGCAGGCTACGTCTTTGGGGGCTATTAAGGTCTCTGAGAGGACGTTTCAGTATGCGGTGCAGCCGCCGCCGGGCGTGAAGGTGCATAGTGCGGTGTTTTCGGATGCGGAGGCCGCCAGGGGCGTGTTGAGGCTTGTGGATGATGAGAGGTTGTTGGTTGAGTTGGCTTGTGGTGTTTGTGTGGAGGCTGCGGTTGGGGGGGCTGGTTGTGCTTCTTCCTCGTCTTCTTCGAAGATGGTGGCTGCGGGTCAGAAGAGGAAGAGGGGCTTGGATGCTGGCTATGTGAGTAAGGATGAAGGGTACGGGGATGATCGGTTGTCTGCTGGGGAGAATGAGGATGATGGTCCGGTTTCTTCGCCGCTGTCATCTTCTGGGAGACTGCAGTCGAAGTTGAAGGAATTGGTGCCGGACTTGAATGAAGACAGTCGCGTGGTTATCATTGTTTGCGGTGGCAGCAATGTTACCATTGATATGGCGGCAGAGTGGAGGAAGATGTTGGCTGAGGGGTGGGCTTGAGAGTGATTGTTTAGATTTCATGGCTATTTCTTATATGGGTCGTGGTGTATCTCTTGGTCTTGTCTTGTTGCTTGCGAAAACTTGGGTTGCATGGGTCTCACTATACAGGTTAATGATGTATGACACAGCGTGCTTGTTTAATGAATGATATAATATTAGCTGTTATTGACAAACTTTTTTTTCTGATAATCTGGAATCACTGCCATATAACACTCTCACGGGTAATTCTCCTTGGACTTCTCGCTAGCAATATACAATATTCACAATGTCTTCATGCTGTAGCAGGAACCGCTGCACTGGTAATCGTCCGAATGCGATAGTCCCAGTAGTTAGATCGAATGGGATCATACTTCTCCTTCAGCAAGGTAAGCATACGGACGGCTTCCTGTTCTGATGCCGGTTCACTTTCCGCAACGAACACATCAGCCAGCCATTCAACAGCATGGCTACTCTTGACCTCAACGCCACCATCTTCCTTATCGACGACGAACTTGCCAGCAAATTCCTTCCATTCCGAAAGAGGCCGACCCGCGGCACGCAATACCCCCCGCGCATATGACCACGGGCTACGATTCTCGGGCGCCCGGACAATCTTGGATTTAGCGTACTGCAGCTCAGCGTCGACAACGTCTTCATCGACAACGGCTAGTCGGCCCTTCTCCGAAGGGTCTCCGCCGCTATTGGGCATTCCAGCATCTGGCTCGTTATCGCGCGGGCCAAACCGGAGCATGAAGCGGTGGTTCCAAGCGGAGTTGTTGCGGACATCCGATGCAATGAGGGCCTCCACGTCCTGGATTTCCCGCGGGGCATCCCAGAGCTTGAAGTGGCGGACGTACCAGTGACGGTAGGTCCAAACATGGTAGTTTTTGGAGTCTTGGGCAAACATTTCCATGAGGAAGTCTGGCTCCTTAGCCGGTGGGCTTGGGAAGTAGTCTGTGCGTGACATGAGAACTTGACGATGGTGCCTGGTGATTGTTAGTTGCGTCGCTGGAAATGGGATGGAAGGGACAATTTGCCATACCATATCTGATAGTTCTTGAGATACTTGAGTGAAACACCGTTGAGCCATTCCAGCTCGTCTTTGAGATCTTTGCCCAAAGCAAACAGGATCTTAGCTCGGTAAATCCTGATAGTTCTAGTCAGCTTCCAGTCCCAACGGTATCATACGCGGGCCGGTCAGGTCTTACTTACCATACGGTATAGTGTGCCGGGTTCATCGAGATAATGTCTTCAGTCAACTTCAAGGCCCTTTCCGACATTTCGTTGGCCGCCATGACCGCTCGTAGATACGATGTGGCCTCAAGATAGTCCGAAGGATAGGCAATGGTAGCCAAGGGCTGAGCTCCTGATTCGGAGCCATCATTCAGCGGAATTGGCTGTATAGATGCCCACTCGGGATCAGATGCGTATTTTCCTTCCATGTTTCAGCTTGAAAGTAAATGCTTTCTAGATATAGCGGCTAGTAAACAGTATAACGACTGGCCAGGGGTACGGCGGTCCACGCTATACACATTCAAGGAGACCCTCCCGTCAATTTGATATATAGGTGAGCTGAAGTGTTCAACCGGCTTGCACCCTGAAGTCTCTGGGACAACACAATTTAGACCCTCGTCTGATATCCCGACGTGGTAGTGAATGACGTCCGGTAAAATCCGGAGAACCAAAGGCCAAACCTAAGTATGTTGCTTGGTCGCAACGGGGCAAGTCGAGTCTGTGATAGACACGTTCTATGCTATTAATTGTCGGATTTACTTTCCGACGTGCAAAGAGGACTGCGTGATATAGCAAACGGTGAAGATATTCAAGTGGATGGATTGATATGCGCCAAAATGAGCGACTCTCCGTGCGGGTGGGGTATCATTGCCTGAGGCATCCACAGAACAATATCAAGGCGGACAGCCATTTTGGGCTATTGTTCTGGCCAGTCTGCCATTGTTTTCCTCATCCTTTCATGTTCGTCTGGTACAACAACCACTACTTGACCCCGGGTCTTTTCCTGAGCCACTATCAGTGGCGGTCACCGGTGCATTTTCCAAGCACCCAATGCAGAAATCTCAGTCATTGTCCACAATGATTCATAAAGGGCAACGTGCGTTTCCCGAAGAGGATAAAAAGTCCCCGGGCACAGTTCATTGGCCCGCGATAAGGCCCAGGCAAAGTGTCCCCCGCATTCTCCAACTTGACATGGCCATCGTCTCCTCATCCTCTGCCATATCCACCTGTTCGCTTTCTTTATCCTCAACTTACCATGAGCCCACCTCGGACCGATAATGCGTCGTGTCAAAAAGTCTCGTAATGGATGTGCCCGGTGCAAGAGCAAACGAGTGAGTTGAGTATCTTTTTGAGCGGTGGCTACATAGTCCCGCCCCATGTGGCCCCAAACATTAATTTGATGCTCCGCCATTCAACAGGTAAAATGCGGGGAAGAACGACCTCATTGTAGTCGATGCACCCGTCTGGGTGTCAATTGCCCTGGGTACGTCCAGTCTCTGCGCTGGGTCACCAAGTATCCGCCGCAGGCCCCCGGGGAGTCGAACAAAGATTCCACTGGCGATATTCCCAGTGATTCTCGCACTATCCCGAATCAATGTTCCGATCCCAAAAATCTGACTACCAGCCCTGCCGACTATGTTGACCCACTGACACAGTCGTTGGCCACGGACAATGACAGCCTAAACTTCACCACTTCCGACGACCCGGCCAATCCGCGGAGTCTGGAATTAGGCGGACCAAGCGGTATATGTGACAACTTATGGGACTTACAGCAGTCAGGTTCGCTACCGGAACTGGCAGACCTCCATTCTCCAGCATCGGCATCAGCGGCTAGCCAAAATAACCCGGCATTGAACTTCGAAACACCGGGAACTAATGCAGATGATCCATTCGGGCTGTTCTCTTTGGCCGCACCGATTCTGCAAGATGAACCTCACATCTTTTCTGGCTTTTCACCTTCTACTATAGTACGCCAGTACCCTCCACCTGGCTCGAGGCCATCACAGCGGGACTTCACCTCGATTCCGCAGCCCCTCAACAACCCTTCGTGGACTCTCGTGGAGTACTACTTTAAAGAGGTGGCGGCCTTGTTCTCCAGCTATGACAGTCAAATGAACCCATTCCGGTCGACGGTATCCCGACTATGGGGCTCGTCATTGGCCATGTGTCGAACCATGCAGAGCATGGCAGCCGCAACCCTCGTCCACGACTTTCCCCAGTTCGGACCACTAGGCCGGAAAATGCGTGATGAGGCAGTTGACATCATCACAAAGGAATCTACTCTGGACGACAAGTCACTCCTAGCGTTGCTCATGCTTGGCCAAACGGCCAGCTGGCACGACCCAAAGGACCTTGGCATTTCCTTTTTCAACCTGCTACGAAATCATCTGGACGCCAAACACGCCGGGCCACCAGTGCCAGGCCGTAGCAACAACCATCAATTTTTCGAAGAAGCTTTAGTCTATTGGGAGATGCTCCTGTCCTTTGTGGCAGATGATTCGGTGGTCTTGCCAGGATCCGCGGCCGCCACAACAGGTGAATCGCTCGTCCTACAGCGCGTTCCTCATCCATGGACAGGCATAGCGCGCGACACCCAGCATACCGTCCAAGAAGTAGGAAGGCTTATACGTCGAGAGCGGAGACGGATTCGCTCCCGCTGCTTCACCTCACACTCAGATATTGCACGAGCCCAGCGCGCCATGGCAAAAGCAACAGAGCTAGAAGAACGACTTTTGGGTCTAGCACACCCAGCCGAAGCCGAAATCATCAGCCCGGGCGACGACGAAACCCCGGTCTGGCATCTTCTCACAATGGCCGAAGTATATCGCTGTACCGGTCTAATGCAATTATACCGGGTCTTTCCCGACCTTCTTCGCCGACGACTACCCACACAACGGCCTTCTCCAAACTCACAGGCTCCAGATTCAGCCATGCAGGATCCGTTCCTCTCTCCTCCAATGGGCAGTAGTACACCCTGGTACTGCGACCCTTCATGTCCGCCCCCCAAACCCACCGACCCTGCCGATCCAACCACCACCACCGCACATTCAGGCTCTGAATCCGACACTTACTACGATACCTGGCTGACCGAGTTCGCCCTCACCACTCTCTCCCGCCTAAAAACCATTCCACTTGAGTCCCGCACCAGATGTCTTCAGCCCTTCCTCCTCGTAGCCTCGAGCAGCGAGCTTCGTCTTCCCCGCCTGCCCCCACTAGACGCTACTCTAGACAGCAGCAACGGCCCAAGCATCTCCTCCCACGCCATCGACGTCTCGCAAACTCGTCGATTCATCCTTGGCCGGCTCACCTCGTATCTGCACGTGCTTCCTCCCAAGCCCATTAGCGTCTGTCTGCAGCTGGTGCGGGAGGTTTGGCGGCGCATGGATGCCGGGGAACCGGGCGTTTATTGGATGGATGTGATGATAGAAAAGGGCTGGGAGACAACGATGGGGTAGTCTTTCGTTTCTTCCTCAAGTTTGCTTCAAGTACCAGCTGGGGACTGTAATGAATGATGCACTTGAAAGGATATAGTATTTTCTTTTCCAGGTGCTTTGTTCATCTTGCTAGGGGTGTATATTTAGCGTTCCATAGTATTAGTACTAGTATCTAGTTTGTTTCACTGGTGATATTTTCGCATCGATACATATTCCGTACTTAGTACTGACAAAAACTGGCAATTCTTGAAAAGATTCGGTAGTAGTATAGTAGTAGTATTGTGTTTTCATTCCTAGGAACATTGAATTCAAGCATACTACATATAGAAGCTGAATACTTCTTGACTTGAAATTCGCATCGCTACATCACTTAGATACAACATAACCCATAGAAATGCAGACATAAGTTTTCCACTGAAGCAGGAGTCCCTAATGCAGCATCTGAAGTGAATTTGAAAACAAGAATATTGAGGGAACCCATCAAGGTGAAAATGGAAAAAAATAAGACAAGAAAAGAAAAGAGAGATCAATAAATTGTGTATGGATAAGGAATACTATATTCCGTGGGTAGATAAGAGGCGTGTCAAGAAATCTGGAAGGAATTATTATACACAGAAGGGAAGAAGATAGTAAGTATAGTGAAGCCATAACAGAAGAAAGGGGAATTGAAGGTCGATTAAACAAATAAATATGCAATCGTGCAATGCCCTAACACCAAGCTCGGACGTAAGGGGAAATGATCGTAAAAGGTTCAAGCAGGATGAAATGAGAGAGGGTGAGGGAAAGTTGACTTCAGACAGCTCGTTTCCAGAACTTCCAGCCTTCCCGACGTTCTTGAACGCCGACGCCAACAAGACGCTCAATGCCTTCTGGTCCGTCGGCGTTCTCAAACTTCTGCTGGTCGATCTCTTCGCCGCCCTCTTCGTTGGTGCCGTTGTGTAGCACCGCTGGCCAGAGGACTCCAATACCGTCTCCACCCAAGGTTGTCTCATACTTTGAGAAATTCTCTGCAGCGAGCTTGCCCTCCAGCTCACGGAGCGCGTCCGCGCTAGCATCTGGGCGCAGGAGTGTGATTGCACAACCACCGCCGCCTGCACCGGTCAACTTTGTCCAACCGATATTGGCAAAGTCGACCAGTTCCCGGATTCGCTCCAGTCGCGGATGAGATACCCCCAGGGAAACTAGGAAACCGTGATTGACACGAACCAGCGTTCCGATATGTTCAAGAGTCTCCTTGTCGATACTATCGCCATCCACCCCCTGGATCGCATCTTGCGCAGACAGTGTGACCTTGTCGATGGCATCAAGGATCGATTCGGTGACGACTGGATGTTCCTTCTTGAGCTTCCCAACTTTGGCAACTTCAACCGCCGTCGAGCGGCTCTGTCGTGTGTCAACGAGCAGGAGCGGCAATTCCGGGAAGTTCGGTAACGGTATGACTTTGGGGGGCTTCGAGTAGTCCTCTCTCCTGAAAATCACGGCCTTGCCGCCGGTGGAGACCGTGTTGTCCACACCACTTGGGTTTCCGTGTATACATAATTCTCCGACAAAAGCCCACCGGTTGATACGCTCGATCTGTAACTCCGCTTCATCCGGGGGCTGGTCATCATGGGGGCCTGCTAGAGTACGGATCTGAAGTAGCAACGCAGCACTGAAACAAGTGCAGACACTGGCGCTGCTTCCAAGACCTGCACCCATGGGGATAGTTGAGCGCAAAGTATATATAGCTCCTGGGTGCTGGGGTGAGCCCAAGGAGCAAAATAGGTACAGAAACGCCAGCGCCGACCCTTTGTGTTTCTTCCGTATTTCCTCGGATGCCTTAGGTGATATGTCTTCAACACACGGTTTTAAAGAGTCGTACAATTCTTGGTCGAGGCTGGTCACTAGGTCGTAATAGTATTTCTTCTTGGAGGGCTGTTTGAAGAGGTCCCAGGGCAGATCGTCAATGTTCCAGGTGTGGTTGAAATCCATGTCCCTGAGATTCAAGGTGATGGTGCGCTGCGATTTGGACAGGGTGGTTACGAGAAAGTAGGAGCGGAGGGAGATTGCGGCGGCCATGGCAGCCTTGCCGTGCACGACGGCATGTTCACCGAAGACGATGACCTTGCCTGGCGCGGACACCATGAAAGGGGGCGCCATCGGCGACGAAGCCTTGCGGGCCATGGCTCTTTTCACGGGATCGATCCCGTTGGTGGGAGAGGTGGCAGGGACGCTAGAGGTATTGGTGATAACGGTGGTCGCTGAAGTGTTCGAGGCGGCGTCGGAGGTATCAGGACTATCGTCGCTAACGGTGACGGTTTTGGACGGAGGTGGAGGGGCATGATCGGGTATCAAATGGGACATGTTGCGACGCTGGCCAGCTTTGGAGGCTCTGAGACTGCCGTTCTTGCGACGTACTCGCCCGTGGTGCATTACTGAAGCGAATGGATAGGATACGTAACTTAGGGGGTTGCGATGGATTCGGGGGGGCTGAAGGTCGGGAAGGCTAAGCGTTAGGACAGTTGGACGATGGGCATGGCGAGAGAGAGAGACTAGGAGTCGCGCGGGGGGGGGAGAGGATTAATGAGAGAAAAAAGGACCGCAAAAGGGCGCCCAAGCCAGCATGCGTGAAAACCGAACAAGAAGCAAGAGAGATTGAGAACACGAATCGCCGGGGCAGTTGATCGGACGGCGCGAGGCAGGGATCGCTGGATGCTAGAAGGGGAAGCCGGGGTGGCAGCCAATCATCAAGCCCCAATTGTGCATTAGTCACCGTTGGACGGGCGGCCATCTGACAATTGCTTCTTCTGGCCTGCGTTTAATCCTATCGCCTTGCAGCGCCCATTTCTTCGTGGTCTAGATTCTACACGGTAGCCCTGAGTCTGATTACCATCACTGCCACCTGCTGCACTCTTTCGTGCTCTCTGCCCTCCCCGCGAGCAAGCAAATCACCTTTTTCCCTTCTAGCTTTTGTAGCAAGGTAGTAGCACGGCGTCATCCAGACGCAATCCTCCAGAGGTCGGTGCGTAGGTATCTACCCCAAAGCATGGGGTGTCCACTCATTGCTACCTTGATGCTACATTGGTCGGGTATACCGAGCACGACACCCAGTTTGCAACCGGTTTCGCCTAGGTTGGCGAATTCTCCCATTCAGCCGAGTATATATTCCGTCTAACCTCTCGGGTGTGAGCTCTGACTGGATGATTCCAGTAGGCATAAGACGGGGGACTGATCGGAGACGGCTTCCGGAGTATATCTGTTCCAAATTGCATCTCCAGCTCGTAGGCAAACACGTCAGTCTGAACCTTCCACGGCATATCAGCTTGGTAAAAATAAGAGCCCGGGTGTGAATGGCCACTCACTGCAGCAATTGATGCCTACACACCTGCTAAAGGCCACCTGAGTTGGGCTGACATTGTCTGGTATCAACTGTTCCTCTGATGCATCTCTCGCTTCCGATTAACACAATCCATTCTCTGGCGGTGATCCTTGCTTTATCAACTTCAGCTCTAGGGAGTATTCTGCGCTTAGTATGATCGTAGTAAGCAATCTGTAGGGAGCTCGTCTTTCAGACAGTTGGAGTCTTGATGTAGGTTGATGTTCAGATTAATATTGGAGTCCATCAAAATCGCTCTTCTAGCCATTACAAGCAGCTGGGTTGACAATGATTGGAATCATTTATCATAGTCATTTCCAAATGGGAAGGAAAAGAAACAGCAACTTGCGATAGTATTGTTCCGGGCATGAGAGTGTTAGTCCCAGGCCAGGGGAACGGTAGTATGCAATTGATGGCAGTCAGATGATTCCAGATGCAGATGGGGCCACTGCCAAAATGCAGTTGCAAACTGGCCCACCACATGCCATTCGCTCCTCGTGCAACATGCTGGGCTTTCATCAACTTTCAAACTAGACCACATATCATCTGCACAATATCAACCTTCTTCATAGAAAGGGATAATCAACATGATTCTACTTGATTCTTTGGCTTCAGTCATTCTTACTGACCCATCATAACTGTTGACTGTCATCATAATATAGTACCGGTTACGAGTCACTGCACACTTCCTGTCCAAGAAAAATGAGTATACAAGACAGGCGTCAAATACACAATAGCGCTCTCTCACCTAATGGGTCGAGGAACGATGTCATTTTTATGACATTAGAACGACAGACACAGCACTCAATTAACTACTCCCAGCAGGTTCAGAGCCTCGAACCTTTTGATGCGGAGTCTGGCAGCATTTGAGGATCAAGTTCGACTATTTAGTGGTTGCGATCTTCATCTGAAGAATTGCATGATCGTCTCATGGCATGATAGGGCCATGTCTCAAAGGGGCCTGAAAACCACTGTATCATCCTGAGCTCACATCAGAACAAGATTCTTTCCCAATCGGAACAGGATGGTCTTGAACATTTCTTCTGGTAGGTGATCAGTGCCATGCCGTTACTCATGCAAACCACATGAACTCCTGTTCGAAGACTTGCCAGTCTTCAAGATAATGGCTGGAAGCAGAGTAGAGACATATCGTTCGCCACAGGACTTTTAGTTTTTAGGTTCCAAGCCAAGAAAGAGCCGGTTAACATAGGCTGAAACGATCTGTTACATGTCTACATCATTCCGATAGACTTTATACTTCCTTGCTCTGATATTTGACGTTTCCTTCCCCGGAAAAATATACAAGGACCTGACCAAACAGAATGCAGACTGTCAGCCAGGAACCAGCCACCGGCCTCACCGGCCTCGAACCCCGACCACTAGAAACGTTCTTCAACGAGATCGCGATTAGGCGTTACAAAACTACATGCGGCAGATTGTTACCGAAAGTGTCAATCGACTAGTCACTCAAGCTTAAATGCCGCATTATGCAGAAGATAAGCGCCGAACTCTGCGCCAGGTCGATCATCAATGCTTTGCTCCCCAAATTGCCATGAAAAGAAAGACTACTGGTTTGGGAGACTAAACCAAATGACATTGCGGTAAACCCCCGAATCAAAGCCAGTTCCTGAAACGAGCAAGAAATATCTATCTGGAACCAAGTAAATCCTAAATCAAACCTGCGCTGTTGTACAGATCAGGGTATTAACAGGAACGGACTGTCAAAAATTACATTGACATCAGTAAGTGGATAAAACAGTTCGAAGAAACAGCGTTTTAGCGATGAGCTTATGTCCATATAAACACGGCCTTGCCTGCAGCCATGAACCTCAGATTCGAATCCCAAGATAACTGAACAACCTTACAAAGTCAAGTCAGCAAATGTCTAAACTTCTCAACGCTGTCACTCTGCTCGGTGCAGGCACTCAAGGCTCGCGCCTTGCTTTCATGGTATGTCTGAGCCTCCCATTTTGAATCAGAGCTTTGGTTTAACTAGTATCGAAATAGTGGTCTCGCCAAGGGAGACCAGTCTACCTTGTCGACAAAAGCCCTGCCCAGCTAAATCAGGCATTAGCTACCATACAACGGCTAAGAGCCTCCGAACCAGCTGGGAAGGATGGCAAAATAACCAGTCTCACTGTTGACGATCTGGACCCAGCGCTCCACGACTCCTGGCTCGCTATTGAGGTAGGGAAGGACCACCAAGCACTGATACACCCTAGCTAAACCCTGTCAGTGTGTCCCAGAGGACCTGGAATACAAGCGGTCCGTGATGCTGGACCTCGATAGTAGATCGCACTCCCAGACAATCATCGCGTCAAACTCGAGCAGTTACTCCATCTCGGACATTTGTCATGGACTATCCCTCAAAGCAGATGATCGTTTCGTCAACCTGCATTCCTGTAAGTCCAATACCTACCAAGAACAGTCCCATGAGCAGCAACACTAATTATTACTTTTCCAAGTCTGGCCACCCGAGACAACAGGTAAGGAAGACCAGATCTAACACAAACAAGAAGAAGCCTTTTCATTGTGCTAACTCCCCCGGCTTCAGCGATCGAAATCATGGGCTTCAGCCAAACCCGACCCGACATCATCCCTCTACTTATGAAAGAAACCCAAGACCATGGATTCCAGCCCTTCCACGTCCGCAAGTCCTCAACAGGCTACACCTTCAACCGGTATCTCGCCAACCACGTTATATGGAGCATGGGCATACATGCTAATCCTGTATAGCATCTGGGCCGCCATCAAGCGAGAGACACTCATGGTCTTAGAAGAGGGCATTGCAACACCCGAGGAGGTTGACCAAATCTACAAGTGTGTGCTTAACACGCCCCGAGGACCCTGTGAGCTGATGGATATTGCTGGATTGGATGTGATTCTCGCCGTCGAGGAACATTACGCCAAAGTGAGGATGGGAATCCCTAATGCGCCGCGCAAATACTTACGAGAGATGATCGAACGTGGTGACCTAGGTGTCAAATCCGGCAATGGCTTCTTCAAATATACTACTTAGATTGGGAAAGCCACTACTGTCTAGTAGCACTGTTAGGATGTGCGCCAGTTTGGATCAATGGACATGTCTTTTCTGTATACATTATATCATGCTACTTTCTGTGATTTCTTAGCTTTAGAGCATACATACAGTTTTTATGTTCAATATTGCTTTGGAAATAGTCATAATCTGATATACACGCGGTAAAATGAACGGGAATCTTGATAAAAATGGAGGGACCTAAGGAGTTTATCAACTGGAAAGAGGCGAGGAAAGCATGCTTGCTGGTATCCTTACGTCTACGGTCTCTGGTCCTTGTTATCAATATAGAAGTTGCATTGGCAAGATTGCTTGATTGTCTCGTGCAGGCGTGGGCCTATCCTTGGGAATATTTGAGTGTACTGATAAGGGAATAGCGAGTAGTGGGCGTTGATGGGTGACACAGCTGGGATGGGCCAAATTATCGGTTATTGAAGTCTACCAGTACTACTAGGCTCGGTGACATGATAGTAGTATGGGTTCATTCATGGAGAAGGACAATATCTTCAGGTCATTATTAACATATGCATATGCTATGAACAGTCAATGTACCAGTAGTCGTATATACTATGGCCTAGCGAAAATGTGCAATGCCTTGCTCCCCTTTTTATGTTCATGCCCTTACGCTAGAGATTCATCGTCACAGTCATGCTGTTGCTATGGACCAGCAGACACGGCGGCAATCCTTGCCAGAAGACTGTCAAGTCGCTCAGGTACGAGGCACTTGCTGCCTCGCTCTGTGCAGTGCCTTCGGACGGCGATGGCAAAGTTGTGAATAGGACAGCTGTATCATCACTGTGCTGGTTCATCAGTTCATTCAAGATCAAGTGCTGCGCCCGACTAGGGAGATCATTGAATGATAATGGAACTGATGCCTGCCTTGGATATCCAGACGCGGTTTTGGGGACAGATGGCCCTGAAGAAGAGCGTCGTGTATAAATGGATTCAATCCGGTTAGATGTGCGTGGAGGAGATGCACTAGGAGCGAACATGATTGAAGGGCCCGCGCCCTCTTCTGTGTTGACACGGGCTTCAGGGATTGGCGATGAGCTGAATCGGCTGCTGGACGGCGACCGGTTAAATTTTGGCCGGGATGGACTTGACTGGGACTTGGGGGATGTCCCATCGTCGCATGTCATAATGATTGACGGAACTGCCTGATCCGGTGCAACCTCTTCGGTAACCTT